TCAATTACTGAATAAACATACTTGTCATATAATTAACTGTACACAGATGCATAATAACTAAATATATGCATAGACAACAGAAGAAAAAATTAATTTCATAGAAATAAATCCCATGTATTCATTTTAATTGACGTAAAGTGTTCGTACAATACAAAAAAGAATACATAAATTTTCATGTAATACTTTGTAGAATAGCCATTATTCACTTCTACAGCAACCAACATCTTCTTATAATTCTCAGTTAATGACTTCCAAATTTTGGTTGGAATTTTGTTCCACTCTTCTTTGCATTTGGTCTTCAGACCCGGGATGTTTGTTGGAGCTCTTAGTTGGATCTGAATTTTCAAATAAAGCCACAGATTCTCGATTTGGTTTAAATCTGGGGACTGACTTGGCCATTTCAGGATATTTACATTATTTTCAGCAAGCTATTTCTTCATAGATTTTGCAATCTGCTTAGGATCATTATCTTGTTGGAAGATACAATCAGGAGGAAGTTCAAGATTTTCAACCAAAATCATTAAATTTCCTCCCAAAATATTTTGATATGCCGCAAAGTTCATTCTACCATCTATTACTGATATTTTGCCAGTGACTTTTGCAGAAAAAAAACATCCCCAAACGACGATGCTGCCACCACCAAATTTCACAGTTGGAACTGTTCATTTGCTTGAACAGGATTTCTAGAAGTACGTCTAACCAACTCAATTTTAGTTTCGTCTGTCCATAATACTCTTTCCCAATACGATTTATGCTTATCCATATTTTCAGGAACGAATTTCAACCTGGCAATTCGATGTCTTTTTAATAGCAGTGGAGTTTTCCGAGAGTGAAGTCAGTTTAGATTGTTCCTATGAATTTCCTTGCTTATTTTCTGTTTAGTGACACAGATTCTTGATGAAAGCAAATCATCCTTCAACTCTTGACGAGTAACCATTTTGGATTTTGTTTAATTTGACGCATTAATTTCCTCGAAGATCTTGAAGAAATCTTTCGTTGAGAACCTGTTCTTTGGTTTTCAACAGTTTCGAGTTTTTTATACCTTGCAATGAATGAACTAATGGTAGTGAATGGAATATTCATGTTGTCTGAGACGTTCCTGTAAGCTTTACCTACTTACCAGAGCTTAACAATCATTTCTTTTAGCGAATTTGTCAATTCTTTACCTCTTGCCATGATACTAGCTTTTTTGCACGAATATCAATTACAGAATGTTCTGTTTGTAAATTTTAGGCGACAAATAATTATTGAAACATTCTCGAATATTCCACTTGAATATTTAAAGTATTAAAACAGTTTAAGTTTTAAAATCTGAAATTTGCACTGTACTAATACCCATGTACTGTTTTTCACCCATTAAAATGGATAAATTGGATTTATTTCTATTAATTCATTTTTTTCTGTTTTCTATGCATATTTAGTTATTATGCATCTGTGTACAATTTATTATATGAAAATTATTTTTATTTCTTAGTTGGAAATACAATAAATTAACAATTTAGATGTGTACGGATATTTGTTTACTTCCAGTATAGTATATATATATATATATATATATATATATATATATATATATATATATATATATACATACAGTGTAACCCGGATATAAGAGAGTTGTCGGGACCGGAGAAGAAGTCTCTTATATCCGGTTTAAATCTAATTATATACATTAACACAGGCTCTAATTTGGGACCAGAGAAAATCTCTCTTATATCCGGGTCACACTGTGTGTGTGTATATATATATATATAAGGACAGTCACTTCGGCAAATGATGACAGTTCATCGCCAACAAATTAGAGGACCCCCCCCACCAGAAAAATACCCCTTAGCCAACATATAGAGGAATGCAGGGGACAAAATCTGCCAAATATTAGTGTCTCCCCATTCTACCATTGCGACTACAGAACCACTGAACAAAGGCGGATTAATAAGGAAATATTTTTCATCAAGAAGATCAGACCCATATTTAATTCAATGCATCAATAGATTCTACCAAACTCCCCTTACCATAAATGACATATATAGCCAGTTATGTCCCTGGGTTTTAAGTTGTTTAAAACATAAGCATCAACACGTGGAGATAGAAACATTTAAAAACTTTTTTGAAAAGCTAAGCGAACCCGGTTAAAGTAAAAAAAAAAAAAAAAAAATTAAAAAAAGAAAGAAAAACATCAAATTATTTTTCTCAGAAAAAACTCCACTGAAAATCGAATTGTAAGTAACAAATTTTTAATTCTTCTCTGTATAAATTCATATATTATAAATATATATCACTATATTGAATATTAGGTGACTTTTTTTTCTAATCCTTATTTTAGTCTATACAATAAGTTTTTTGTACAGACTCTTTCTAACTATATATATATATATATATATATATATACCATGAATTAAATATAGATACAAGTAATCATAAATGCTTACCAAACGGTTCTCAATGTGGTAATACAGACATTTAAAGTATATATTAATAAATATACATAATACCTTACGTCGAACGTTACGACTTGGAGTTTCATGTTCAGTACAATCCTCAGAACTTACACACACACATATATACTGTTGGTAATCTAATACAACACCCAAGAGCCACTTAAGACAGTGTTACTGAATGAGCTTGTTGAAGAGCGTAAGAATTGCATATTATGGGTATATGTATAATAGGTGACTGTTGTACTTGTATAGTTTAAATTTGTACTGATAAACTTAGTGACGATGATTGTTAAGGTTTGAACTGCCTACAACTAAAGATTTTAGATCGTCTTATTATCTGCCAAAAGTATATCTGCCATGACAGTAGCAATAGAGTAACAACAAACGAGCAATATTTCGTCTGTGGGGAAAGAGTTGCAAGGTTGAAAATCACTCACCTTGCAGCGTAGACGCTTTTAAATTAATTCAATTTCTTATCGCCGTAACGGGGCTTTTTTTTTTTTTTTTTTTTTTTTTCCAAGGCAATTGTTCTGATGAGATTTCCTCCTTGGTACTACGACTGTATACACTTAGGCTTACTAGGTTTCATTATTTTACTGTTGAATTAATTTGGATGCAACCGTAAGTTCTATTCTAATAGTTTCTTCCCTCGCACTTCTCGTCTGTGGAATTTACTTCCGGTTTATTCTTCCAAGCCACCTACAGTCTTCAAAAATTTAAATGCAGCATCAATTGTAATCTTCTGTCTTCCAAAATCATGTCGTTTTATTATCCCCCCTCACTAAAGTTTTGTCATTCTCTAGCACTCAGGGGCTTAACCCTACTTCACGATTTAATAATTTACTTATAGGACTTCATATTAAACCATATTTTACTAAACATTGTCTTAGTGATATCATTGCCTTACATGGGGTGAAATGATTAACTATATATATTATCGGCCCTGATCTGGCAGCTCGGTTTTTTTTTTCACATTCCTGCCGTAGTAATGTTGCCTCCCTCTGTCTTTTCTATAAAATCTTTCATGGTAATTGTTCTGATGAGCTCTTCGCTATGGTACCTAGACTTTATGAATTTAAGCCCAGTACTAGACTGGCGTCGAGATCTCATCAGTTTACAGTTGAGCCGACTAGATATAAACGTAAGTTCTATGCTAATGGTTTCTTTTCTCGTACTTCTCGCTCGTGGAACTCCCTTCCGTCTCCATGCTTTCCAGTCAACTTTAATCTTCTGTCCTCCTGATTACTCTTTTCTCTTCCCGCTCATGAGCAATGTTTCTGTTCCTAATTCTTCTACACTTAGTAACACCTTGTGTATTAGTGGCTTTACTACCTTGCTTGGGATAAAATTGATTAACACACACACAAATTATATATATATATATTAGATATATATTTATGAATAAAAATGACAATAGGAAAACTTTCGTCAGCAATTACCAGTTTTCCTATTGTCATTTTTATTCATAAATATTGTCTTCTCTACCGATTAAATCGGAGAAAGTTTCATATATATATATATATATATATATATATATACTCTGTCTTAAGTGGCTCTTGGGTGTTGTATTAGATTACCAATAGTATATAAGTGTGTGTGTAAGTTCTGAGGATTGTACTGAACATGAAGCTCCAAGTCGTACGTTCGACGTAAGGTATTATGTATATTTATTAATATATACCTTAAATCTCTGTATTGCCACACCGAGAACCGTTTTGTTAAGCATTTATGGTTACTTGTATCTATATTTAATTCATAGTATATATATATATATATATATATATATATATATGAATGAGAGAGTGACACAGAAAAGGACCGGGAGATTATACTGTTCAACTAATAACGTAATAATTTAATATCTTTTCGGACCGATGCTAATGGCTCTAGGGTTTTGCGTTCGCATTAATTTATGACGACATTGAGTCCAGGCTACAGTTCCAAACTTGAGCCATATTTCTTACATAATCTCGCATTTTTTCCTTGGTGGTTGGGACATGAAATACCCGTAACAATAATCTACGCTAGTCTTGAAATGTTTTCATAAATATTTCTTCAGCCATTTCAACGTGCGAAATTTCACTTTTGAATAGAATTTTTTTTTTTTTTTTTTTTTTTTTTTGCAATATGCTGACGCGTGTTCAAATCCTCACAGTATATACTCTTGTTCAAGTTATCACTTACATTTTTGTCGAGATTTGCAAAATCTACACTTAGATCAATTTCGGAAATCAATCGATGAAATTTGAAAAAGCTGATTTTTTTTTTTTTTTTTTTTTTTTGAAAATACTTTGACAAAAATCCTACTTCTCAGTTTAATAATTTCTCTAAATTTAATTTTATAAGACTTCATGTTAAACAATATTTTTAAGAATTTTTTTTTTTTCCTTTTTAACAGCGAAGAATAATTTTTTAGGATTTCTTACTCTTGAGCATACAACATACAACAGACCATGCGTACATATTTCTTTCTAGAGTCAAATTCCAACTTTTTGAAGCGTTTGGTATTGTGATTTTTTTTTATAGTTCTCGCAAACGCTGGGTAAACTGGAAATTGGATTCTTATATCTAAAAACTTAAAAGATATGAAAAAAAAACATTTTTATTAAATAATTATTTGTTATTTTAATCATTAAATTGGTTTTAAAATAGTGGGAGTATTTTTATATGCTAAATAAAACTTAACTTTAAAAAAAATGTTAATGAAAATTTATTGTTTTTAGCTACACACCCTAGTAAAACGAACTGTACTTTGTACCCGTATTTACATTTTTGCGCTCCTCCCCAAAATTTGGTTTCGATCGGTCAATGGCTATTTTAGAGGGTGGGACGGACTGACGAAAGTTCCAGAATTTTATATATAGATATTCACTTACTTTTTCAGTTGGTCGGGTCAAAACAAGACTTTCACAGTCAATGAAATATATTTGGGCATCTCGCACAATCGCTCTCGCAATGACGATTCTTTGGGGGTGGAATGGTAAAACTGCGTCTTCCAGTTTCGTATTGTAGCCCTGAAAAAAAAAAAAAAAACAATATATTATTTTAGTTATATAGAATCGCAACAGAATAATTCTGACTCCTTTGTCTTTTGTTTTAATTTCAATTGACCGTTTATTGTAACTACTTAACCCTTAGTTTCAGATAGAACTCTCAGGAATATGATATGCTTTTAGGGAAGAGTCCACCTGGGGTACGTTTATTCCAACCACCCCTTTTATTAAATATCCTGCAAATCTACACCTACCCCTTAACGTAGGTTGAGATGGCCCCGAAGGAGGTTTTCCTTGAAGGGTCTGGCTGAGGCGTGTGCCACTTACGTCTTTCCTCTCATCCTTTTCCAGTTGGCTATACTTCCTCTTTGCAAAGACCATAGGAAGGAGCGCTTGATGTCCACCCTCTCCTGGGGTGGTCGCAAGCAGAAGGTTCGTAAAAAAGTCTGTGACCAGCGTCCGTGTCATGGGAAAGGGGGTCTAGGATTGCCACATTTGGTGTGTCATCGTCACGCCTCGAGGTTGGCTTTCCTACGCCGCGTTTTAAGAGAGGACTTGATTTTGGCGGGGACGCCTTCCCTAGCCTTACCATCACTCCTCCCATTTTCTTGGGTTAAGAGCCGTAGTAGGTCCAGGAAACTGTCGACTTTCCTCAGTGAACGTCGAGCGGCCTTGAGGGTCATCCTTTGGTTCAGTGACCTTTCACGTCCTCAGAGGGTGGTTTGGCTCGTCGGCGGCCGAGTTACCCTCTTTCTGGTCTTGGGCGACAGCGGCGACTTACCTCAGTAACCCTAAGTTTTCGCTTACCTGGCGATTGATTTGGAACGTGCTCTCAGAGTCTTCAGATGAGGCTGGCGGATTTTTCCCGACTGTTATCACTGATTGGATTAGAAGAAACGGTTTCGCACGCTTTCTACCATTGTCCTCAGGTGTGCCCTTTCAGGGACTATGTCGGCGAGTTGACAGCTCGTATCGCTCCCGATATTCTCGTGCTCATCGATCTCGCGTAAGTTTACGATTGTCGGCGCCTTATTCTGAGGAGAAACAAATGGTGTTTCGGACGCTGCTAGCTCTGGCTCGAACGGTGATTTGGACAACGCGAATGGAGGGAATCTTGCGATAGGAACGCTATCATCATCAGGCTCTGGTTTGATTCTTTCAACATCAGCTGAAGGTGTAGACCAGAACTGACAGAAAGCCTTTGGTGCCGACAGATTCCAGCGAAAAATGGTTGATAGAGAACTTGATTCGTATGAAAGGGGCTCTCCTTAAGTATTTTTTTTTTTTTTAAGTTTTCTTAGTAACAACGGGGAGGGGTTTCCTGTGAAACACCAATCCCCCACGGTTAAGTTAGACACTATTTGCTTTCTTAGTTAATAAATGCTGCTCCCGGCCTGTTCCTAGCATTTTCTTTTGTTACGATCTGTGTCGAGATTCCCCCCCACACACACACCCCACCACCACCACCACCAGTTTGTTTTTGGCCCCTCTTTCCTTATCTCGGCTTGGTCAAACTTTGATTTTCCTATTCCGACATTTATTTTTACCGTTTCCTCTCCATTACTGAGTGTGCTTGTTGATACTGTCTATCAGCAGAATACGGCGGCCACTCTTATTATTTTGAAGGTTGGACGGGTCCTGCTAACATCTGTTTTGTTTTAGTTTGTTTTGTTACAATATTTTGTTAGTTTTCTGGATTCATTCCCTCCCCATCATTTCAGGATTCATGATTTTTTTATATATTTTTGTGGAAAAAAATACATTATGAGATTTTTATGCCATGGTGTGTTTTGTAGGTCCCCAATGAATATGTAGTATTGTGGTATATGCAGGATTGAATGGTGATGGATAAGTTACTTGTGGTAATTGGATAAATAAGTCGTGATTATGATTAACTAGGATAGATAGATAGCAAAGACCAGCTTTTTCCCCACTTCCCCTTCGACCTTGTGCCACAATTATTGTACTTTTTACAATAATAAATATGTAATTTGGGTTGAGATCTTTCTCAATAGAAGCGCTTCATTATTGAAAGTTATTTAAAAATTGAAAAAAAAAACTAATCTACCTTTTCTATTTTTTTTTTTTTTTTACCCTCCCCTTTTATTTAAGTTTCAAGTATAGGGTCTTTCATTGACTATTTATAAAAAAGCGGGTCTGTCATTAATAATAATCTCGAGAAGTACAGAATAATATGGTAGAAGACGTTTATTAAATAATGCATAAAACCAAGTATACCATTCTAAAAACTTTCTGGATGACGTATTTGGTGGCGTGTTTTGATCTTTTTTTTTTTTTTTGTATAATCAGTAGCAACAGTTTTGCAAACCTTGTCAATTTTTATTAAATCTTAACTAGTAATTACCTTCATCTTAATATTTATTAGATGAAGCATTGTCAGCCATTATTCATTTTTGACTAGTATTTCTTTCATCTTCATTTTACTTGCTTTATCTCCACTTGTAATATTATCTGGAATTTTTATTATCCTAGATGAAGCATTGTCAGCCATTATTAATTTTTGACTAGTATTTTTGTCTTCTTCATTTTAATTACTTTATTTCCTCTTGTAATATTATCTGGAATTTTTGATTAGGATTTCTTTCATCTTCATTTTGCATGTAACTACTGACACTGCCAACACCGAAAAATTGTTCCGAAGTTGTAATGCAGACAAACAGGAAACTGGGTATCATCAACAGAACTTTTTAAACAAATCAATGGAAAACCTCCTAAAGCTGTAGAAATCACTTGTAAAGCTTCTCCTAACATATGGCCACAAGGCTTGGCATCCCTGCCGTAACAAAGATATTCAAAACGTTGAAACTGTTCAGAGGCAAGACACTAAAATTATGAATGGTTTTCATAAGTATACGGATCATAAGACAATTTATGCAATAAATTATCATTAGCAGATAGGAAAAATCGTGGAAACTTGATTGAAATATTAGTTGAAGCATTGTCAGCCATTATTCATTTTTGACTAGTATTTCTTTCAACTTCATTTCACTTGCTTTATTTACAATTGCAGTAATATTATATAGAATTTCTATTAAATGAAGCATTGTCAGTCATTATTAATTTTTGACTTGTATTTCTTTCGTCTTCATTTTACCTGTTTTATTTACAATTGTAGTAATATTATCAGGAATTTTTATTAGATGAACCATTGTTAGCCATTGAGCAAATTGTTTCTAGAGCGATGCGTTTTCTAGTGAAAAGTAAATAGCATAATTTCTAATGAAATATCTGGGTTTTTTTTTCATTGTTTACTTGGTAAACGAAAATAGAAACTTATTTCAACTATGTCTCATTTGATGTTCATATCGCAGGTTTTTTTAAGTTTTCTCTTCTGTTCCACTTCCTTTCAACGGACATAAATGATCTCACATTTCTGTAAAAAAGAATACCTAATTTATACAAAGTTGAAAGCTATTAAGTCATAAACATCATTATTGTCAAACACACACAAACACACACACACACACACACACACACATATGTACCGGGTGTAAGGGTGTGGCAACAAAATTTTCCAATTGTTAGATTAAGATTTGAGCCATTGTATCTACGAAATGATTAAAGATATATTACTGGAATTCTCCGAGGTTTTTATATAACTATTAGACTCTACTTTGACCAGTAACAATGTATATTTACTCTCCAAGTTTAACAGAAGTATCATAAATAAAAATGACATGTTTCTTATTAATTAACCATCGCTAAGGATCGGAAGCTCAAGAAAGATTGAAATGAAGTTCATATATATATGTATATATGTATGTATCATTCCAGGTTATTTTCCAACTTATTCAAGATGATCTCGCCCTCTCTAACCTAACTTTCTGTCCTGGAGTAACAAGGTACAGGTTTCATGTATGATTTCATTTACAAGTTTTGTGGAGTTTGTTTTTGTTTGTTTTTTCACTGCTCTTTGGACTCTCATAGCTGAAATTCTTCCCTCTTTTTTAAACTTATTCAGCGATCACTTCATGGTTCTTGAAATGAAGGTGGAAGCCACAGTGTGGATGTTGGTACCATTAGTGAAGGTCTGAATGATCATTTTCCTCTCACTATTGCTGATTTGGGAAGACATTAAGGGGTTGACACAAAACGATTTTAACGTTCTATTTCTATCTGAACAATTCAAAGGATTTTTTGGTGATTCTTGCGACAAATGGTGTCAAGATGGCTAAACGTCTTATATGAAAACCTAGAGAAAAGAAACTCAATTAGTGTAGGAGTTTTTAGATGTTAAAGATTTTGTGGGATGGACAATTATCGCATGCTGTTACATTATTTGGACAATTTTGCTCTTAAACCTGGTGTACACACACGCAACCAACCAAACCGCCCCACACACACATACATGTGTGTATGTATGTATGTATGTGTGTGTATATATATATATATATATATATATATATATATGGCCCATTCCCCAAAATAGTAATGACTCGTGTTTTACTAGGTTAGCTCACACGCAGATGTTGGTGGTACAGAAGTAGAGGCTGAATCCTTGACTTGTTGGCGGTACAGAAGTAGAGGCTGAAACCTCGACTTGTTGGCGGTACAGAAGTAGAGGCTGAAACCTTGACTTGTTGGCGAATCCTCGAAGTAGAGGCTGAATCCTCGACTTGTTGGCGGTACAGAAGTAGAGGCTGAATCCTCGACTTGTTGGCGGTACAGAAGTAGAGGCTGAATCCTCGACTTGTTGGCGGTACAGAAGTAGAGGCTGAAACCTCGACTTGTTGGCGGTACAGAAGTAGAGGCTGAATCCTCGACTTGTTATAGAAAATAGTCTGTGAAAATGACGCCTGACATGAAAGTACGTATGAAGCAGAGGTGTATCCCTCAATTTTTCCATGCAGGAAAATGGCCTCTATCGATGTTCATCGTAGTTTACTGTGATCAAATAGTGGATGTGAGCACAGGTGGTTGATAATGCATTTCAATGAAGAAAGGTTCTCGCTTAGACCCAAAGTCCTCATCCGCTTGAAGCTATTCTTAAACGTTGATATTAGAAAGCGGTTCTATACAGCTGAATGAGTTGAACACCACAAATGACATCCATACAAGTCTGACGAGGTGATTTAAGTCCATGACTGTAGGTCTTACGTTAAACTTCTGTAGCATCTTGTGGTGTTAAGCAAAACTACCCCGCCACGCCAGCGAAATGCATATTCTTAGTTCAATTTTTTTTTATTTCCTTGGGGAAGAGTCAGTAAAGAATTTTCTTTATTAAATCGAGAATAAAACATACCCAGGACTATTAAAGGAAGGGATATGACGATAAGCTATATTCGACAACAAAGTCTCTGATCGGGAGATTGGAGGTTATGAAGCCCGTGGAACCACCTCTTAATTGCTGTTGTTCTCAGGTCCACCATGACCCGCGGTAGTAGCACCTGTTAGGATCCCAGCTATGGGCATATAATGAACTCCCAGACATAAATCGAGACATTAAGAAAATAAGTAATGACCAACAATATATTTTTATACATTTTTATAGTAAAATAAGAATCAAAATATTTTATAGTAAACTTGAAGGCCTAGTATAAATTCTCAAAAAAAAAAAATTAAATAAAAAATTTGCTATGATTAATCTCATTTCTTGTAAGTAGAAATAAATTTTGACTTCTCGTTTAAGTTTGCAAGATTATTTGTTTAAAAAATGCAGGTAAGCAATTATAATTTAAGCACCATAGTCTTTCTCTTAAAGTAATTAAGTTTCAATTTTCATATTTAGATACTTACATTAAACAACCCATACAGGTTAATATACCGCTAAACAAAACTAGGACAATCACCTTCCTTTTAATTCGGCCAATTTTCAGTAAATTGTATATTTTAAAGCCCTAAAACAGAAGGACAATGGTTATGTTAGCCGTTTCCTTATGTGAAAACATTTCATTGAACGAACAGCAAGTGCTACACTAATTATGCTTTTCTTCATTCCATGGAGATGGGATCAAAGTGTAGTACCCATTCTCATTTCTAATGGAAATGATAATATTAACTCTTTCCTTATAGGCAAACATTCGGCATTCTTTGACCGAACAGCCAATGCTGCTCGAGTTATGGTTGTTCTTCATCCCCTGGTCACGAAGATGGGCTCAAAGTGTAGTATATATTCTCTTCATCGCTAATGATGATAATAGCCGTTTCCTCATAAAGTAACATTTGATATTCATTGACAGAGCGGCCAGTGGTTGTTTGAAATTTATAAAATATTTCTATTAAAACTGTTATCGCTCTGTCCAATATTGATGGGGAGATTCAGCCTTAGCCCTTTTTTTTTTCTTTCCGAAGCAGTGTTGAATGTCGATATCTTGAGTGTTACAATTAGAGTAGGTTGAAAAATTAATTCAAAATTTGTTTTCGGAACAAAAAAGGAGGAAAATGTGGTTAGACTAAACAGGCGGAAATTAAAATTAAACGCAGAGTCGGGAATAAAAGTTTGGTTTGTTTTACGGTATATCAACCTCAATGGATTATTTAATGCCGACAAGATTTTTATAGCTTTAACGATGGATTGTATGTACGAGTTCCACTTAAGGTCTGGTTCGTTTGCTTTGGTTTGGTTTGTTTTACGGCATATCAACCTCAATGGGTTATTTAATGCCGTCAAGATTTTTATAGCTTTAATAATGGGTCGTATGTACGAGTTCCACTTAAGGTCTGATTGGTTTGCTTTGGTTTGGTTTGTTTTACGGTATATCAACCTCAATGGATTATTTAATGCCGACAAGATTTTTATAGCTTTAATGATGGATCGTATGTACGAGTTCCACTTAAGGTCTGGTTGGTTTGCTTTGGTTTGGTTTGTTTTACGGCATATCAACCTCAATGGATTATTTAATGCCGACTTTAAAGATTTTTATAGTCTTTGGTTTGATGGATCAACCTCAATGGAGTTCCACAAATTTTTAAGCTTTAACGTTGGTTTGTTTAAGGTCTGGGTTTGGTTTGGTTTGTTTTACGGCATATCAACCTCAATGGGTTATTTAATGCCGACAAGATTTTTATAGCTTTAACGATGGATTGTATGTACGAGTTCCACTTAAGGTCTGATTGGTTTGCTTTGGTTTGGTTTGTTTTACGGCATATCAACCTCAATGGATTATTTAATGCCGACAAGATTTGTATATCTTTAACGATGAATCGTATGTACGAGTTCCACTTAAGGTCTGGTTGCTTTGCTTTGGTTTGGTTTGTTTTACGGCATATTAACCACAATGGGGTATTTAATGCCGACAAAATTTTATTGCTGGTAATAATTTGTTTTGTCATAAATCTGATTCTGGTAATATTTTTCCTTCAAAATTTAGTTGCTGGTAATAATTTTTTTTTCAAAAATGTATTCCTGGTAATAGTTAACTATTTGACTATAGCTGGGATCCTAACAGGTGCCACTACCCCGGGTCAGGGTTGGATCTGGGAACACAAGCAATTAAGAGGTGGTATCACGCTCGTCAAAACCTCCTGATCAGAGGCCTTGCTGCTGGACGAAGTTTATCGTCTTACCCAGGACGCGAATGTTGTTTATCATCTTACCTAGGATGTCGTGAATAACAGGAGATTAGTTGGAAAAGCAATATTTAAATCGCCGGTTAGTCCTGTCTATTCCGGATACAAGAGTAATAGAAACAAAATAATGCGTGTATCTCAGCTGTTAAAGCTTTAGATTGGAGTTTAAAAGATTAATTTTGTTTTCGTTTTCGTCAGTGAAACTGCTTTAAATTTTCTAGTAAATGTCAAATAGTTCTCTCACCTCTGGTAAAGATTTTATGGCCTCGTGAATGTTGAGAGCCTTGCAAGCTTCGACCACTTCGGCTACTCCCGTGATGGTTCCATAAAGAATATTGTCGACGATGCTAATGTCGAAAAATAGTGCTTCCTGTTTCACAACGCCGATCTGAGAACGGAACCAGCGCAATTTTTGATTCTGTATATCGACATTGTCCAACTTCTGCAAAGAAAAAAAGAAAACATTTTTAGTGGATGCTAGACAATCTTCTCATGGAGCAATGTTCCTCTTTCTAACTCTTCTGCACCCAGTAACCCCTTGCACCTTTGTGGCTTTACTGCCTTGCTAGCGGTGAACTTGATTTTAAAAAAAAATAGAAAAATAAGTATATTTATTCAATTGATCCCAGGTAAGGCGATACTGTTACTAAGACGGAAGGGGCTATAATACATATCAAGATAGATATTCATACACAATAATGGTTTTTGTAAATATTTCTTACAGACAAGCTAAAAAGTCAAGAATGTCTCATAAGAGGGATGATGTGAATAACAATTAAAATATTAACAAAATCAGATTTCATTTGATAATTAATATATTTTTCTCTTTCAATATATATTACAGGTAACACCTACCATACTTTCATTGCAAATTAATTATTCTTAAATTATTTTTTTTAATCTGGCATTATTTCTTATTATCACAAATATTAGTTTTAGTGGACCCACTTTTTTCTTTTTTTTTTTTTTTTTTAATAAGGGCTTCTTGATCTTGGCTGGTTGGCATTAATTTCACTGTTTCAAAAAACATGGATGTCAACTCGAACATGTGGACCCACTGACAATAGTATTGAGAGCAATAAGAAATATGGCATTTTATATAGATATATATATATATATATATATATATATATATATATATATATATATATATATATATAAAACCATATTTTAAATCAATTAATTTATAATATTAATGCTCTGTAAATTTACATTGAGCACTATTTTGTAAAAAATAAAAATATCTATAAGAACACCGGATTTTATATCTTACTGTTCTTTCTTTTTATTTATATACATATATATATATATATATAGTGTAACCCTGATATAAGAGAAACCCGGATATAAGAGAAACCCGGATATAAGAGAGATTTTCTCTGGTCCCAAATTAGAGCCTGTGTTAATGTATATAAAGTAGACCAAACCCGGATATAAGAGAAATCCGGACATAAAAGACTTCTTCTCCGGTCCTGACAACTCTCTTATATCCGGGTCAAACTGTATATATATATATATATATATATATATATACACACACATACATACAAGTATATCATTATGTATATAAGTATATATATATATATATATATATATATATATATATATTTCTCTTTCAATATCTATTACAGTTAACACCTACCATACTTTCTTTGCAAATTATTTCTTATTATCACAAATATTACTTTTAGTGGACACACGTTTTTTTTTTTTAATTAGGGCTTGTTAATTTTAACGCTTCTAAAAGTTTGATCAGTTCAATAAGATCAAATTGGCAGCTGATACCCAAAACCATCTTCAGTCTGTTGTTAACTGGATCAAAAGATGCTTTGTTAGATTTAACGCTTCCAAAATTGAACTGCTCTCTATTAATCATCTGAGAGAACTCTCTCTGCCATTCATCACCAAGGACACCACATCAATTTACATATAACTGTAAATTCTATGCTAACAGTTTCTTTTTTCGCACTTCTTGCTTGTGGAACTCCTTTTTGGTTCTGTGCTTTCCAGCCAACTTTAATCTGCAAAAATTCAAAAGCAATGTCAATTACTATCTGCGGTTTTCCTGATTACTCTTCCTCTGTTCTCACTTGTTGGCAATGTTCCAGTTTTTAACTTTTCCACAACCCCTTGCATCTCTGTGGCTTTAGTGCCCAGCTCGAGTTGAACTAAAAAAAAATATGGATTATCTTAGGTGTAAAGTTCTGAATTGGTGGAACTAAAGAATGGAGCTCATCTGAACATTTGCTATGGTGTCTACGCTGATGACACAACCATTTACTCCTGTCTCGATAGTAAATCTGATCAGTTCAATAAGGTCAAATTGGCAGCTGATACCCAAAACCATCTTCAGTCTGTTTTTAACTGGGGCAAAAGATGGCTTGTTAATTTTAATACTTCCAGAATTAAACTGCTCTCTATTAATCATCTGAATTAACCGTCTCTGCCATCCATCACTAACGACATCAATTTTACAGTTGAGCTGGCTAGATGTAACTGTAAATTCTATTCTAACAGTTTCTTTTCTCACACTTCTTGCTTGTGGAACTCCCTTCTGTCTTCGTGCTTTCCAGCCTACTTTAATCTGCAAAGATTTAAGTGTAGTGCCAATCGCTGTCTGCTGTCCTCCTGATTACTCTCTTCTCTGTTCTAGTTCCTAGTAATTGTGGAATCTTCCACAACAAGCCAGTTAAACCCTGCTAGGAAATGCACTATTCCTGTTGTAATTTTCACCATCACAATCTTACAAATATATAACAAGCATTCATTGGTTATTCACCTTCAATCTAGCTCGCTGATTGGTCAGTTCCGACCCATCAGATATCCTGCACGCGACAAATCTGTTTTCCAGCGTTCTCCATTTGAGTCTGTCACGTGGTACAACAAAATTATAAAAACAGAACACGTGTAAACTCCATCGTGTTTCTTTTCATCCCTCCCGCGTCTCATTCTTTGCTACCAAGTACCAAGATGTAATCTTCGAGAACTCCCGTCTTAACCTTTGCAGTCAGACGTTAAAGACCATTATCAACATTCGCGCAAGTGAGAACTCTGAAATCTCTTCTGAACTTTTACCAACTTGTACAATACACAATTCCAAACATGCTAAAGAAACTTTATTCTTCTAAACTACAGTTTAATAATTACTTTCACTTTATGAACTTAGGTACAAATATTACCTAATCTAAGAGACACAACTCTGTCTAACCTTTCCACTCAGTATTCATGCATGTATATCAAACACTAATAAATTCAATTGTTACGTTTTGAAACAAGATGTTTATGAATCTTTATTCTCTATCTTGTATTAATTGTTGTGGATGGAAGATTATTGAACACATACGATTTTTAAGCCTTCTGATAATTCAAACCTTCTACTCCTCTCCAACACACATCACACATCCGCAAAATAATGTTCCTGCTTCTAACTCTTCTACATCCAGTAACCCCTTGCATCTCTGAGGCTTTACTGTCTTACTTCAGGCGAACTCGATTAAAAATAAAAAAAAAACTTGGACATGACAAACATGTGAATTAATTTTGGTTTCCTGTAGCACTCGATCTTCATTTAGTATCTGGAGATATTCGATGGTCGAAGCTAGTTTTGACACAAGGCCACATTTTTAGAGCATTCATTGAAGCATGTAAACTATTATTCTATCTTCAAATGTTCTTATTTCTTTGCATAACATGGTATTTATCCGGATGATAGAACCATTTACACCTGCCTTAGCCCAATAAATCCGACAAAGTAAAAGGATCTCGAATCGGTGATTAACTGGGGAAAAGAAGGGGTTGTAAATTTTACCGAAAACAAAAGTTCTTTCATTTAATCAACGTAGGGGACATTTTTTTTTGTCTGTGATCAGCACGGCTGATGCTAACCTCCAGGCGAACCACTCTGTACGTCTTTATCGGTTCAAGTTTGCCACTGACATGTAGTTGAGTGATTATATTCAATCAACTCCTAGGTCATCAGTTAAAAAATTGGATTCCCTGTGTTGCGCAAAAACAAATCTTTCTCGTCAGAATCCATCTTGCACATTTATAAATCTACCATTTCTCCGACTATTGACGCCATTAATTATAAAATATTATTGGTAAGTCTGATTGGATCAGAGGAGGCACGGTGGAGTGATGGACAGCGGCTTGGATTGAGGAATCGGAGAGCCGAGTTCGATATCCAGTCGAATCCGTTGCATCCACTTACGTGCTAATACCCGTGGGAAAGTTATGAATCCTCTTCTTCTCCTCCCCCACATCTATGGGTAAATAGAAAGACTGACCGTTTTTTGTAGCCTTGAATGGCAAATAGCTTACCGCAGAAAGAAATGGAAACCAACTGCGGGAAAAATCTGCCTCGTCACTGATATATCGAAAGATACATGATCACCTAAGCGTGTATCACGCATGACACATAACTAATTGACTGATTGGATCGGTAATGTCAAATTGGCAACGATTTTCAAAAATGACCTATAAAACTATTGTTAATTGGAACAAGACATGATTTTAACGCCTGCAAAAGGACAGTGCTTTCATCCTTGCCTTCCATAAATATGGCTGATGCTAGCCTCCTGGAGGGTGTCTCTTCTCAGGGAATCTTTTTCTACTAATATGAAGTGGAAATATTGAATCAATTGATAGATCTGTTACTAGGAAAGTTGGTCCAATGTGCCGTACTAGATACTTTTCTGGACAAAATCTATCGTCCATGCATGGAATAGGGCTGCCACATCTGGTCTGGTGCTTCTGATATGTATTTAGATATTCTTGATAAAATCCTAAGAATCTGCAATTTTATTGATCCTGACCTGGCATCCACGCTTCAGCTACTTTTCCATCTGCATGATGTAGCTTTCCTGTGCGTTTTCTATAAACACTTTAATGTTAATTATTAGGATGAACTTTCCACTATGGAACCTAGACTTTATTTTTAGATTGGTAGCAAGTTCTCATTATTTTATAGTTGAAATGACTAAAAGTAACCGTAAGTTCTATGTTAACAGTTTCTTATATTGCACTTCTCACTTGTAGAACTCTTTCAGCTTCTTTCCTTCCAATGAACGACACCCTATTCCCAAAATTTGAAAATGCAATGAAAAATATAAAGTCAAATATTTTCATGGTAATTGTTCTGATGTACTTTTTTTTTTTTTTTTTTTTTTTTTGGTACTAAGGCTTTATGAATTTAAGTGAAGTACTAGATTGGCGGAAAGGTCTCATCATTTTACAGTTGAAAAGTAACCATAAGTTCTACGCTAACGACTTCTCGCCACTCATTTCTCACTTGTAGAACTCTGTTTCGGCTTCTTGCTTTCCTGTCAAATTTGATCTTCAAAAATTAACATGTGAGATCAATCGCTATATCTCCCGTCTTCTTAATTCCTCTTCTTTTATTGTTCCCTCTCTTTTCTAATGTTTGTGGGGGCGAAATGATTAAAAACAAAAGAAAGTAACCGAAAGAAAATAAACAAATTGAAATAATTCGCTGTAAATAAAGGAGATTATTTCGAAGGTTCGTATGCTTAAAATGGTTCACAATGTCGTGCCAGATAATCTTCCTAGACAGAATCTATGTTACACATTTATAAATCTACCATTCGTCAATGCCTTGAATATTACTGCCACATCTTGTACTTCTGTTATGTATTTAGAGATTCTTGATAAAACCCAAAGAAATATCTGCAACGTTATTGGTCCTGAATTTCCACTCCGATAATGTAGCTTCCCTGTGCCTTTTTCTATTTTCATGGTACCTAGACTTTATGAATTCAAGCATAGTTACATTGGTGGCAAGCTCTCATCATTTTAAATTTGATATGGCTAGATGTAACCGTAAGTTCTATGCTAACAGTTTCTTCTCTCTCACGGTATTACATCCACGGCCTTATAGATTGGCGACAAGGTCTCATCATTTTACAGTTGAAATGGCTAGATGTAACCGTAAGTTCTATGCTAACAGTTTCTTCTCTCTCAAGGTATTACATCAACGGCCTTATAGATTGGCAGCAAGGTCTCATCATTTTACAGTTGAAATGGCTAGATGTAACCGTAAGTTCTATGCTAACAGTTTCTTCTCTCTCACGGTATTACATCCACGGCCTTATAGATTGGCGACAAGGTCTCATCATTTTACAGTTGAAATGGCTAGATGTAACCGTAAGTTCTATGCTAAAGTTCTTCTCTCTCAAGGTATTACATCAACGGCCTTATAGATTCAAGGTCTCATCATTTTACAGTTGAAATGGCTAGATGTAACCGTAAGTTCTATGCTAACAGTTTCTTCTCTCTCACGGTATTACATCCACGGCCTTATAGATTGGCGACAATCTCATCATTTTACAGTTGAAATGGCTAGATGTAACCGTAAGTTCTATGCTAACAGTTTCTTCTCTCTCACGGTATTACATCCACGGCCTTATAGATTGGCAGCAAGATCTCATCATTTTACAGTTGAAATGGCTAGATGGAACCGTAAGTTCTATGTTAACAGTTTCTTTTATTGCACTTCTCGTTTGTAGGACCCTCTTCCGGTAACTTTCTTTCCTATGAACAATATTCTATTCCAAATATTTGAAAATGCAATAAAAATATAAACGGTTTTATATTTTCATCGTAATTGTTCTGATGAGCTTTCCTTCTTTGCTACATAGACTTTATGAATTTAAGCGCAGTACTAGATTGGCGGTAAGGTCTCATAATTTTACACTCGAGATAGCTAGATGTAACTGTAAGTTCTATGATGTTTCTTTTCTCGCGCTTGTCACTTGTGAAACTCTTTTTCGGTCAAGTTTAATCTTCAAAAATTTGAATACAAAGTCAATCGTTATCTTTCGTCAACTTAATCTCATTTATTTTATTTTATTTTATTTTTTTGTTCTCCCCCCGTAAATAATATTTTTTCGTAGATTCTTTCACACACAGTAACAGGAGTTAATGGCTCTATTGCCTTGCTTGGAATGAAATGATTAAAATAATGCTATATTTATGAATGTAAGTATTTAATATGAGGGACGGTGTGTGCGTAAATACTAGAGGAGACACTAACACCGAGTAGCAAAAGTCAATTTTATGTTTTATGCTTTATGTTGTTTTAAGCTTTTTGTTTTATCTTTCATGCTTAAACGCACTATTCAGGTCGTATATATGTGCCTGAATAGAAATCTGCAATAGACAAAACTTAACACCCCTAGCTGACAGGCGTACGTGGATATTGGAAGCCAGCCATACCTTTATATATCTGGATGGATTCTCCCAACGATTACGACGAATGTGGATTTAGTAATATTCGCTTGTAGAACTGTTTCGGCTTCTTGCTTTCCTGGCAATTTTGATCTTCAAAAATGTAAATGCAATGTCAATCGTTATCTCCCGTCTTCCTAATTACTCTTCTTTTATTGTTCTTTCTCCTTAATAATGTTTGGGGCGAAATCATTAAAAAGAAAAGAAAGTAATTGAAAAAGAATAAACTAGGTGAAATAATTCGCTATAAATAAACGAGATTATTTCTGTTGTCCGTATACTTACAATGGTACCAGAAAGCGGACTATAGAATCGTTCCATTAATTCTACAATTGCCTTTTTCTCGATTTCCTTGGCGCCAACGATAGCTACAGACTCACCAGCTCCAACTGACATAGAAAATGTGTCCAAAACTGTAACGTCCGGCTGAACTGGATCTTTGAAAGTGACGTTTTCAAACGACACAGCGCCTTTGCACTCTTCCTAGAAAATAAAATAAAAAATAAAACTCATGTCTCAATAAATACCAATTTTTCCAGATTTATTCGGATTTTTTCTATGCGTTACTGATAGTGTTGCCACAACGTTTTGCTCGATCCATTTTACGGCACCCGTCTCGACCGATTTTTATCTACATATTTTCCGTAAATCAATCTCTCTCTCTCTCTCTCTCTCCCCTGTAGAATAAGCCAGCCGAAACATTGCGGAAATTATAGATAATCAACTTCTTGGAATAACTTTTTTTTTTTTTTTTTGATCTTCATATGCGAAGTCTCTTTAGGGTGTAAACTGTCATGGCTATTCACAGCTTCCTACCTTTTGTTAGCCTAAGTAATTCTTACCGTTTACCATCCATCTTTGTATGAATGGATGTCTTTAAAAGAGACAAACTCGTTAAGTAGTTTACTCGCTGTTTCCCCTTCTTTTGCTTTCATTATGTCCTGTAAGTGTTATATTCTCCAGGCCCTCTTTCCTTATGATTTATCTTAGAAATTTCAGATGTCTCGTTCTGATTTTAAGTATCTGTTTCTTTGCTGTTCCTATTTTCTTTAAGATGTCCTAGATGCCTACGCGTGCTCTTCATTTTATTCCTTGTATTCGTTGGTAGAATCACATATGGTAAAGTTTAGGAAAGGCATCCCCATCAATACTTGAAAGATCAATGACAGTCACTGGACTTGAGAAACCTTTTTTTTTTTCTGATAAGTTATTTTAATAGAAAGATCTTATGCATTTCAACCAACAGCAGCACTGGATGCTCGGTCAAAGAATATCGAATGTTTCCTTATAAAGAAACAGTTATCATTAACATTCCCATCATATCCATGTCACTTCTAGACTCTTCCTTCTTTTACGGTCGCTTCACGTTGAAACAGCGTCTCCCGTAAAATCACCGAAGTTAAGCAATGTCAAACCTGGTCAGCGCCTAGATGGGTAACTGCTTCGAAATGCCAGGTGTTGTAAGCTTAGATATGCAGGTGATATAATGCATAATAGCTGGGTATTGCTAATCGAAGAGACGAGTTCCAATTCTGGTTGGGTTTGTTATATTACGCGCAAATGCTATTGGGAAAGGTCATGAATGAATTAGTAAGACGTGTACCACTAAACCACTATTATCTACAAAATGATTCTTAAAATCCAAAAATATATTCTGGCTTTAAATAGCTTACAAAGGGTTGATAACCCGTAGAAAACGAATCGATCAAATCAAGTTCAAATCTTCTTCAGGTGTAAGAAAATTGTGCCACTACATGTGATTAAATGTTGCATAGCAATTCTGAATTTTTTTTTTTTTTTCTAACTGTATTTTCCTATGTTTCAAGGGTGGAGTTTTTCGTTGTTCCTACGGGAAAAGGGAGTGGCCTACAGTTTATGGGAAATGATAGGTGAGGGGAGACAAAAAGGATTATAAAGAATTAAGCATAGCGAAGAACTACAAGATGTAGGAAGTTGTGGAGACTCATGATCGCCCACGCCCTGAAAAAAAAATAACTGGCATTATTTTCAGTATTTCTTGGATAGAAACAGACAAAAAATCAATTTTGTTCAGAAAGAATTTGCTCTTTCGAGTGATATGAATATAAATAGAATAGCTAAGTCTTCAGTTATTTGTCTTTAAATTTTTAACTCTTCACAACTTCCGACCTTAGTATTTTCCTATATTTCTTCCAAAATTACACTATTTATTCTATCAAATGATTCCATCTTTTAACTTCATGATTTTTCGATTACTCATTTTTACTGTCGTTAGTTTAAACTAACGACTTCTTTTTTTCTTTCTTTATATATACATATAAATCCAAGGACACTTTTGGTACAGATGGAATAAAATCCCGATAAACAAAATCATTATTCTTAAAAGAGTGCTCAATACCGAATAGAGCAATATATATATATATATATATATATATATATATATATATATACACGTGTGTGTATAAAAAAAAATATAATCTTAAGGTGTGCTATATTTATGGGATAAAGTGCTCAGTATCAGAGATAGAGCGTATGTAAATATAAAAGTGAACATTGAAGTCAACACTTAGAGGCCACAGTCTGTTTCATGCTAGATGCAATCGTCAGGCCACCATATATATATATATATATATACACACACAATTGATTTCCATCTAAATAATATCCATCTCCATTCGTTTTATTGTTAATACATCATAATAAAGTAATTATACCAATAATTAATTAGCAATGTTAATATTAACATTTTTAATTCTTTGTCTAATTACTTCTTTATGATGTAATATATATATATATATATATATATATATATACTGCACATTTTAGTATATTTATTGATAATGTATACCTATTTATTAGCCTCAATTTAGCCCAGTTGAACGAGGTGCGTAACCGGTTAGCTAACTCGTTTTTCATTTTTTTGCTTTTAATTGTTATCATGTATGGTAATATATCTCTCTCTCTTATATATATATATATATATATATATATATATATATATATATATACGCTGGTTTACATGCCAGCGCTTTTTGTGAAGGACTCTTGATTACACCTTCGGCATTTTCATGAGTTTGAGAGTCCCTAAGACTTTGCATATTATCAGCATTTGAAGCTCTTCTGGCTCCCGTTTGATGTGGGTCTTCATCTACACGAGACTTTCTTTTCCTCACTGCAGTCTTGGCTCTTTTGATTCCAATCTGGTTCTCTGTTGGCAGAGATTTCTTTTTGCCAGGCATATCGCTGCCGTATGCGACAAGCAATCATAAACTACAGAAGAACTCAAAACTGAACGCTTTATTTAAGTATTGAATTAATATTTAAGCTTAACTTTTCAAAATTCAACTGTAATTCTCCTGTCGCCACTTAATTTAAAGACAATTTGATGTACTTTTCCGTATGAAAAATTATTTTTATTTCATGGGTGGCTTTCGCTGGATTTCGTAATTAATTTCAATTATTCCTAAATTTACTTATAACTTTACAAGTTATAAAAATTGTTATCGTACCCTCACCCCCAAAAAATAAAAAATTGTCGAAAAAAATCTCCGAAATGAAAACTTGAGAATTCAAAATATCAGGATTGCTGGTTCGACACGGAATGTTTTTAATTTGCTCCCGGAAACGGTCTGATTCCAAAATGCTACGCTATGTTTGGCTACGGCCTCTTGGAGTAAAGTTGGAAACGTGTGAAACACTGACACTAACATACATATATATATATATATATATATATATATATATATGTAAAAGACAATATGAAAACTTTATTATTAGCCGACGCGTTTTGTCTAATGTGAACATTCTGAAGGCAAAAACTAAATGAATTCATTAAAAATAAAGTAACTATTAACAACAAGCAAAATGTCCTTGGCAACAAGAACAAATTTAGAAAACGCTATTGTCTTCATATTTCTTCTAGTTGCCAAGGACATTTTGTTTGTTGTTAATAGTTACTTTGTTTTTAATAAATTCATTTCGTTCTTGCCATTGGACGAAACGCGTTGGATAATAATACGGTTTCCCTATTGTCTTTTACCTTTATACATATTGCCTTTTTCTACAGGTTAACTCTGAGAAAATATATATATATATAAAATCCCATTTACCAAGCTACAATTGTTTTTGTAACTTCCTCCCATCACAGTGAGAGGTCGAGCGACGGTGGTGATCAATATTTGTTTGTGTTCGTAGATTTTTTTATACTATTGCCCATCCAATGCAAGGCCCAAGAGCCACTCAAGGTAGGGGTATTACTGTGTGTTGTTGTATGAGTGTAAGAAACGACAAGAAGTGAAAAATCATGGCAATATGCCGGAATGATAACGGTTAATCCTTGACATGAAGAGGTCAATATTGTAATGATTGGGAAAAATCCTGACTGTTCCACAAAACTGTAGTTCTTGGAAAGAATCTGTCAGAATGGACCTTACATCTTACTATCGTAATACGAAAGGAAAAGATAATGGTTAACCCTAGACATGAAGAGGTCAGGATTGAAGTCATCGGGAAAACATCCTACCGGGAGTCTGTTCCACAAAGCAGCAGTTCCTGGGAAGAAGCTGTCAGGAGTTATAGGTCTAATGATTTCTATATTGAAATGTGAAAATCGCTTACCAAGGGTTTATTTTCTTCCTCGGTTGAGGAATCATCAGGAACCGTCTCAATCAATGGGAATAATCTCTTTGCAGCAAATCTTCCTCTTCTAAAGTCTGGTGTATTCCACAACATTCTTCCAGTCATTAAAGACGCAATCAAAACCGTGCCAAGAATTCTACAAGAAAAACAAAGAGACGCACTATAAATTCTAAACAGAAAAGTAACATCCTCATTGATTTTGATTTTTAGATATCTTTAATGTTTAGAGCTTAAAAAAAGAAGAAACAAACATGGACATTCGTATCCACAAAAATCGGAGTGTCAAAAGGACGTTTTTCCCATAACACGGTTTTTATTTTAACTACCTTCACTCCTCGACAATCTTTACTGTTTTAAAAGGCGATGATTAGAATTGTAATAAAACCGAAACATATGATGAAAGTGAATTTATACAGTATTTTGTTATTAAGAATTTACAACAAAAATATTAAACACTATTTGGTCTGTCTATATTTCTGAGATGAGGTATCATGTACATTATTTAAAAAACATGCAATGATAACAGCAAAATTGCAATATGAGCACTGGTAAAAATGGTTGCTTTATAATACCCAGAAACTTATACTCAAGGACACATGGCACAGTGGATAAAGGCGTTGGTTAGATCCAGTGACAGGACCCAAAGAGTGTGAGTTCAATACCCGGTTAAGGCAGTGGATAACTTTCAGAGGAAAATTAGTAGGAGATTACTGATAACTGACAGGCACGTGGAACGAGAGCAGTCTACCCCAGTGAGCGAAATAAAGGGTTCAGTTCGAAATTCCAACCACCTGAAGAAGGCCGGAGCGTACAACGGCCGAAACGTTGTAATAAATATGGCGACAAAGATGGGGACAATAGTTCGAATAATGTAAATAATAAACACTATTTATTTATTATGCAAATGTTAACAGTCACTATTTTCAAGCAGCGTATCGAAATGATGAAATTTATTGATTGATTCGTTTTTCTACGGTTTATCAACGCTTTGAAGGTTATTTAAAGCCAGAAAATATTTTTAGATTGTAGGAATGCTTTTGAAATAATAATGGTTTAGTGATACAAGTCTCACTAATTAACCCATATGTGGGGAGCAGAAGAAGTGGATTCATGCTTAATCAGAACTTGATAAACGAACAATTGTAATTTGGATATAAAGTGTGGTATCAATTCCATATTACAATCGGCATTTAAAATGATCCCACATACTGTGACGTTCGTTTTTAGACATTTATATTCCAGAGAATCTATAAGACATGCCTGTGTAGCTAATAAGTATTAACTGATTGATTAATTCGTCTTCTACGACATATCAACCTTTTGCAGGTTATCTAAAGCTAGAAAACAATTTCAGATTGCAAGATGTTTTGTTGAGATAGGAAAAATTTAGCGATACAAGTCTTACTAATTAACCCATAGCTAGAGGGAAAAGAGGTGGATTCATACCTTTCCCAATTGTATTTGTGCGTAAATAATACGACTGAATATTGAGTTCGATCCTCACTGGGTGCCCCACACTTTCGGCCTTGTTTCACATCTAAGCTACGCTTAGATAATCAACATACTGCTTTCATCGCTCATCAGTTTGGAAGGTGAATTTTGCTTACCTATAAATACTCGGAAAGTCCGCCATTTTGTTTTGTACGAGATATGAACCGATGGCGAAAGCAACGGCGAATGCACAGTAAATAAGTCCTTCGTTAAGACCAAAAAGTATTCCAAATTTGATGTTTTCCGTAGTTTCCCTTCTGAAATGAAAATAAAAAATTACTAAATTAGTTTTTTTTTTTTTTTCAAGCAATCCACCCCAACCAAGGCAGGAGTGCCACTAGTACACAAGGGGCTACAGAGAGTGTAACTAAGGGAAAAGACTGAGTATAGAGAGTGAGGAAAGGATAAAAACAAGAACAGGGATCAAGACAACAGAATATGTCGATTGACATTACATTTAGATTTTTAAAGATTTTAGTTAATAGCAAGTAAGAGGAAGGAAGTTCCATTGTTGGGAAGTGCGAGAGAAGAAGCTGTTGGAGTAGAAGAGGCGGTTACTTTTAACTCTTTCGACAGTAAAAGAGCGGGACCGAGATGCCAACCTAGTAGCACGCTTAAATCATTCAGTCGGAGCACCACTGAAAATAGCTCGTCAGAGCAGTTGCCATGAAAATATTTATAGAAAAGACAGAGAGAAGCCACATTACGTCGGTGAGAATGTGACTGGAGTCGAAACCCCGAATCAGGAGCAATCACATTGCATAACCGTCTTTCTGTTTTGTCGAGAACCTCGAGATGAACAGCGGGGGCACCAGACCATATATGGCAACAGTATTCCATGCATGGACGAATGGTAAATTTGCAGATGTACAGGGTGAACTCAGACGAGAAAGACCCTCTGGTGCGACACAGAGAATCCACTTTCCTTACGCTAGATGCAGCAATTGATTCAATGTAGTTGTTTCATCTCGGGTCAGTGGAGACCAAGAAGGCGCAGTGAAGCGCTCTCGTTGAGTTGAGCATCAACCATGCTGATAGAATGCAGAGAAGTTTCTCATTGGTGAGTAAATGACAGTTTCGTTTTGGAGGCATTAAAATTCACAAGCCATTTCGTACCCCAGTCAACCACGGATTGACGGGTCATTTTCGAGACGAATGTCCAGGTTAACTTTGTCAGCAATGCCGGAATTACTATTGTTATGGTCCAAGTTCCTTGTACCACGGTGAAGGTCCAAGGTTAGAACCAATGAAAGAATAACACGAACACAGGTATGGAATACAAAGATATATTACAACAGAAATATAATACAAAGAAGTAGAAGTATTAGTAATGACTATCAGATTTGGTTAGAGTGAACTATGTTGTCTCGACAAGTATCACTATTCCAATGTCCTTACAATATGCTCTCAATTATCTCTCCTCGTCTTACAACATCCTCATACCTCTTGAGAGGCGCAGTATTTATAATGTCAGGAATAGTCCATTATTATTATGGGTAAGTTCCCATAACAACTATTACGACAGCAGTAAATGTTAATATCGTCTGCGTAGATGCTGACTTAACTGATGACGCCAGCGAGATCATTGTTGAAGATCAGAAACAGTGTAGGACCAAGGTTAGAGCCTTGAGGAACACCAGCGAAGGAACTGAAAGAGAACCAGTTTATTGCTGCTATTCTAACTATAAATAGGTATTATTGGTGTTTTATATTATAGAAAGTGTTTTATACTTTCATGGTGTTTTATTTATATTTGTTTGTTCACTATTTGCCGATAGCTGGGACCCTAAAAGGTGCTACCACCCCGGGTCGGGGTAGACATGGGAACAACAGCATTTAAGAGGTGGTTCCATGCTCCTGAAAACCTCCAATCTCCCGATCAGTGGACCTGCTGCCGGGTGTTGTTTATAGTCAAATCCAGGACTACTTAAATTAGTATCTTCCTGACAAAGCAATTTAAAGGGATATAAAAAATATTCTTTTTATATGCCAAGTACTTTAAGGGTCATAGCTCTCTACAACTTCCTATCTTTTTTGGTCTTAAGTAAATTTTGGCCCATTTACGCAAATTCGTTAACTAGTTTACTAGATTTTTTTTGTTTCGTTTAACGGGACTCGGGCTCTTAAAGACTGGCGAAGTACTGGGGGTGCTGAAAAGTTTTCGACCTGACTCGACTGTTATGGAGTGGTTTCATAGTGGAGGCTTGTATTTGTACTAAGCCAGTCCTAAAATAGGTTCGACGTACAAAACGTTAGGAACTTGATATAATAGGTAATGACGCAGAGAAATCTAGGGGTGGTTGCTGATACTTTAGTATCCGACTAACAGTCGCCCGGAATCGACTGACTGACCGACCCACTGAGCGACTGACTTGTTACTCTTACTACTCCTACTTATTATAGGTGGGAGAGTCTATTGACTATAGAATAGGTGTGTTCCACTATAACACCCGACCCATTACACAAAATTCGTATCTTAACGAGCAAACATCACAATATTGATTTTTGGACGTGGTTCGAATCTTCAAACAGTATGATTTCTTTAAGGAACCTCCTGGGGAAAGGGAACTTACATGTATTATCCTAAATAAAACAAATATTCAGCTTCATAATCTTAACGATATCAGATATGCAGAAGACCCAGTGTTGATAGAAGACAGGACGGAAACTGCCGAAAATAATGATGGAAAGCGAGTAGAAAAAAATCCCCACCAATTGTAAGAAGGCAAGAGAATTATCCCAAGATGCGAACTACGTATTGATGATGTCAAAATCAAGCAAGTACGTAAACCTAAATTTCTGGTGCGTAATTTAACAGACGATGAAAAGCGTGACCTCGAAATACGAAGGTGCATTGGACTAGTAAAAGATGCCTGCCAAAAGCTAAGCAAAGTATTAAGTAAGAGGAAAATTTCATTAGAAACAAAAAAAATGAGTCAGTTATGTACCATGCGTGATACACGCTTAGGGGATCTGTTGGCATTAAATAATCCATTGAGATTGATATGTCGTAAAACAAACCGATCTATCTATCTATCTATCTATCTATCTATCTATCTATCTATCTATCTATCTATCTATCTATCTGTGTATCTATCTATCTGTGTATCTATCTATCTATCTATGTATCTATCTATCTATCTATGTATCTATCTATCTATCTATGTATCTATCTATCTATCTGTATGTATGTATCTATCTATATGTATCTATCTATCTCATATGTAATTGAACGTAGATAAACCACGCTGCCGCTGGGGCGCTTTCGCTTCCTTGGTCTTCTGTTGACTTCTGAACCCTCGCACACACGGGTATCACTCACACAGACAAAACCAGCACATACTTATGTCTAAATTCAATGTCTTTTCCTTTCATTTCATTTGCGTACACATGTAGTTACTTTTGTCATTGCCATTTGTTTTAAATTCATTATTTTATGTTACCCGTTTTTTTTTACCCGGACTCACATGAGTCCGCCAACATTGTTTGCGGGAGAAATGTTCCAGAAGCCCATAAATATTTACTACACAAAGTACACACACTCATATCAAAACTATTGATTCCCACTACAAAGTGTTGATTTATTGTTACCCGAAAATCAAACAATCCACAACGGGCTAAAGACATAACTTACTTGTACATAAACTGAACTATATCACGGCATTTTCTAATGAAGTTTTCTTCTTTGACCAGAATTGCCAATATCTTTATGTTTGCAAATGCTTCTTGGGTAATCTGGAATGACACAAAAAATGCATTCTCATTAATTCAAAAACTTGTTAGTGTTTGAATACAATTGTAAATGAAGCTATAAGTTTGACATAATCTGTTTTAGTTTCTGAAACGGGAGGACATGACTTCATTGAGAATTGGCATGTTAAATCAAATCATTGACTCCATTGAGACCTACGTATCTATCTCTGTGATGCATATTTATGATGACGTCAAATATTTTATGGTTCCGACTATGAGACCCGAGATCGAATCACACTATTTTCGATTTGTCAGGAAGATGATAATATCAGCCTGGGGAGACGATCTCAGCCTACTGGCTAAATTTAACCGTAAGTTCTATGCTAACAGTTTCTTTTCTCGCACTTCTCGCTTGTAGAACTTCCTTCCGGCTTCATGCTTTCCAGCTAACTTTAATCTGCAAAAATTTAAATGCAATGCCAACCGCTATCTACTGTTCTCCTGATTTCTCTTTTCTCTTCCTGATCATTATTAATGTTTCTGTTCCTAATACTTCCACGAGCAATAATCCTTTGTATCTTTAGTGCCTTGCTTGAGGTAAAATCGATTAAACAAATATTTCCAGACGTTTCAAATGAAAATTTTCACTGCCTGTGGCCAAACAAAAGCGAAATACAATAACAAAACTGAATATCGCTCACATTCAAATTTATACCTACCGTTATTATATATAAATACCTTAATATCATGGTATATATTTATTCGGTGAAAAGCCGACCAGAATTTTTTTTCGGATTTTTTTCTATATTATTATAAATTAGGTGCCACAAAAATTAGCATACCGTGATAAATAAAAATGTTCGAAACTTAATAAAAACAAAGTTTTATCGTCCAAAGCTTTATTATTTAAAGAAAAGACCAAAGGATTTTTATGATTAAATTATATTTTTCAATCCTTATTAGAACGTTCAAAATCTTTTCTTACATCAATGGGGGAAACCAAAGATTAGTATAGAAACTTTATCGTTTTTTGCGTTGAAAAACACGATGATATGAAAATTCATTCAAAAATCAAATAAGTGTCGGATTTTAATGATTTTTGCAGGACTTATCCACAAATGAATGAAGTTATTTTTTAAATAACTTCATTTTTTAGAAACTCTTGCTAAAAATATATTTCTTACATATGTTACCAACCCCCATTTCATTTTGAAGAAATTTCAAGAAATTGAATTTTTGTATGTGTATAAATGTGACGATTTTTGTAGATACGGATGTTCATACACAACATTATCAGATAAGAGCCATATCTAAAGTAAATTTAAAGCCAAAGTATGTAAAATTCGGTAAAGCATTACATTATGAAGAATATTTTCCTAATTTTTTTAACATTACTAAGTACTAAAAATTATTTTAAAAAACGCGATCACGTTATATTCCTGAAATATTTTTACAGATATATCCACCGTAGAAAAACATTAGATAAACTTCCATCTGTCATTCATGATGTCAGCATGTCAACAACTAAAATAAACATATTTAATGTCAACAATGTCAACAACTAATATAAACAGCTACGATCTTGTTAAAAAATGCATTTCTGCTGTATTTTAAACATAAAGTAATATTTGTTTTAAATCAAATCAAACTTTAAACCAGATAATATTCCTCAAATAAAGTCTCAGAAATGTATACTTTATTTCTTAAATATTTTTTAATAAAAAGAATTACATTGTGATGATAGATGGCTAGAAATGGCGCTAAAATCAGCAATTTTACTAATTTCAAAGCGAAAACTCGAACGTCAATTTAGTTTTGAATTGCAGAAAAAGTATTTTGCTTATTGGAAATATTAAATTTAATCTATTAGCTTGAAATTAAAACTAAAATAAAAACTTCAAAAAAGAATTTTCATTTAAAAAAATTCATTTTAAATCTTAGGCATTGCGTTTCCTTGGAAGTACCTACTGTACATTTATCCAAGTTTAAACATCCATCAACATTTTTTCTATTACTGTTAAATTTGTAAACTTCCCTTATAAAAATAACGCCATGTAAATGTTCATATACTAATATGGAAATGGATGACGACTTTTAAATAATTTACGCATATAATTTCGAATGTGCATGTTGAAGCGGACTATCTTAGAAACGGGTGGAATGGCATTCTGCTTTATGGTGAAAAGGGTGCATTCTGCAAAAATGGCTGAGAACCACTCTGCTAAAGAATGTAAGAAAATCAAAGAAAATGAGGGGGTGGGGAATTAAGCAAGGAAAAAGAAATAAATAATTAAATAAGAAATAAATAATTAGAAATATTTTGTGTGTGTATAAACGTGTCGATTTTCATAAATATGGACGTCTCTACACAAGATTATCAAAAAATAACTATAATAAATTTTAAACCAAAGTGCCTAAAGTTCACTAAAACAGATTACGGGGAATATTTAAGATATATTTATTTCATTGTGTGTGTGTGTGTGTGTGTGTGGTTAAAAATTATATTTAAAAAAAGCGTTCACACTATATTTGTCAAATAATTTTTACAGTTATGACCCCTGTAGAAAAAATAATGTAAATTAGTTTTTAGATGCAGTACCGTATTTTGCTTATTGTAAATATTAAATTTAATCTATTATCTTGAAATTAAAACTAAAATAAAAGCTTCACGATAGATTTTTTCATTTTTTTAAAAATTTATTTAAAATCTTAGGCATTGCGTTTCTCTGGCGAAGGAAACAATTTTTTTATAAAAATTAATAGAACGTCCATGTAAATTTATGATAAATTGATCATCCTATGAAATTCCTATGAAAGTCAAAACAAATATACACATACATGTTTTCTTATAATTTAAATATGAATAAAATTAAAATATATTTTAGCTAAATGAAATTGTCTTTATTTTATTTTTTTATTTTTTTTTAAAGAAGTAGAAGACAAGATAGAGATTGCTTCAGTATTGGCAATGTTTTCCAATGATCATTCAACAAATGAGAAACCAAAGTTTTCATCTACATTATTGTTTATTGGAATGTTTGGCAAAACATTAGCTAATTGCCAGTGGCTTTTTTCTGAATATAACGGCCTAACATTTTAGCTTTCATTGTAACCGGTGTCTGAAAGAGCTCAAAAGCTGATGTAGGAACTAGCACTCACTAATCAGTAGCACCAGGTTTGTGCAAAGACCCAGGAAGTTTGAAATTGCTCTCATGGAAATTACAACTGGATTATCAATTGCTGGTTTGGGTGATGGCTAACCTGTATTTATGTATTATAACAACAGGGGATATCACTGATATATGAAAGTGATATTCTCAACAATACACAGTTAATGCAAGAATTCCAAGTGGAATTTTTTTCATACTATAAGGGAAATCTTGAAAGTACATTTTAGCCTTTCTCTTTTTATTGCTTGTGCAATCAAGTCAACCATAGACTGTTTTTTTTTCAAATCCAGATGCTTGTAAAATTAGCTCCATGTAAACTAATGGACTTGACATAAATGAAAGTATATTTTGGATAAGATAATCCCATATGATGAAAGATGAAGAAATCGGGGTTCACTCCTTGCCAGATTTCAACAACAGAATTTGATTGAGAAAAAAAAAAAAACGGTAAATAAGGATTTCCTTATAACTGATTCACATATTTCGAAATTCGTAATTTGGAGTGCTTAATCAATAGTAATATATGAAAAAAACTACAGATCACGATTTAAAATAAATTTAACTTCTTCAATGAAATAGTCAATTGGTCGATTTGTACAATAGGCACTACGACCAATTTTTTTTTCATGGAGACAAAAAGGAAACTTATACTTAAGATCAAGAATAGACAGTTTAGGTTCCTGGGGCATATGAGGAAAGAGGGCTTGGAGAATTTGATACTCAGAGGACGGATTGAGGGACAGAAGGAAACAATAAATAATATACTTAATGAGCTTGAATAAATGAATGATGGAACAGAGCTTAGGAAAAATAACAAAAAGACGATGCTTATTAAGAGTTACAAAGGACAGGACGTTGTAGAGAGCCATGACTGCCTACGTCCTGAGAGGACAAAGCACATAATGAATATCTGCTAAATTTATACTTGTGAACATGCGAGTAACGACGAAGTTTTAAAAATGATGAAAACAAAAAGGAAACTAATATTTAACATTAGGAGAGTCATGATCGCCTACGTCCTGAGGAAACACATAAAGCACACCAGATCACGAATATTTTTTTTTTAATTTTATAAAAGTTAACAAGTCCCGTTCGCTATCACACTGTATGAGCATATTTTGCTTTGGCTTCCGTAGGGTGGGGGATCTATTTACAATGAATTTACACAGCAAACTGGACTGACTATTAACGTTTACATTTTTTCTATATTTGTCATTTGGTGTGTTTAATCTGTAGTAATATTATAGAAAAAAACAATTACGAAAAAAATTATTATTTCTGGTCGCAGTCCTTAATGTACAATTCCCCTGTTATCTATCTACCTTATCCTCATAATCTTCCCTTCTTACCACTTTCATTCATATGCATCATGACCATTTTAGCAATGATTCTCTACTTTGAGTGTCTCTCGAGCCTTGTATTGGGGAAAATTTTTTGTATGAAAATATTAATGAACAACAAATGGATCAAAAAAGGAAATTGTTTTCATGTGTGATTTTTTTTTTTTTTTTTTTTTTTTTGGTGGGGGTCATAATTTCAAAAACAAACCTTTCTGAGAAATTCTTGGAGATCGTTAACTTTCCAGATTTTCTCTGGAAAATACAGTCGCCCGATGATATAATTCAAAATAATCAAAGTCGGGAGAAATATTCCGAGCATGGGAAAGGCCAATTGCCAAGAATAAACGAAGCAAATAACGATGCAGCTGATAATGCTAGAAACGGCTTGCAGGATCATCGCAAGTTTCAAAGAGGTGGCCTACAAACAGGAAAGGAAAAAAAAAAATTAGCATAATAACCGTCAATGATTACCTTAATTACATAATTAGCATAATCATAATAATAACATAATTTTGCTTGTTTCTTGGTACGCCCCACCTTGCCAATACCACATTAATTGTGGATTACACCGTTTTGATCCCCCTGGAAAGACAGAAGAGTTTAGAAATGCTGATTTCGGTGAGAAAAAGAAACGAAGGAAGAATGGAGAAAGGGGAGAAGGAAAGAAAGAAAAGAGAGAAGAATTAAAGTAAAGAGAGGAAAGAAAATAAGTATAGGCAGGGAAGTAAAGAAGCAAAATTAAAGGAGTGGGGGGAGGAAACAAACAAAGAAAAAAAGAAGGGAGAAAAGAATTGAGGAAAGAAGGAACAAAATAAGAAGTATTCCGTTTTGATTGTAAGGAAATACAGAAAAGACATATCAGAGACACTGTTTCGTTTCATTATTTACATTATTCGGACTATTGTCCTCATCTTTGTCGCCATATTTATCACAACGTTTCTGCCGTTGTACGCTCCGGCCTTCTTCAGGTGGTTGGAATTTCGAACTGAACCCTTTATTTCGCTCACTGGGGTAGACTGTTCTAGTTCCACGTGCCATGTTTGATGGATGTCAGTTATCAGTTATCTCCTGTTAATTCCCCTCTGAAAGTTCTCCACTGCCTTAACCGGGTATAGAACTCACACTCTCTGGGTACTGTCACTGGATCTAACCAACGCCTTTATCCACTGTGCCATGTGTCCTTGAGGAGCGTACAACGGCCGAAACGTTGTGATAAATAAGGCGACAAAGATGAGGACAATAGTCCGAATAATGTAAATATTGTACATAGTACCTCATCTCAGAAATATAGACAGACTCTGTTTCGTTTCAGTGAGAGCAAAAAAGTCAGTCGACGATATCGTTTTCATGTGTTTAACGTCTGCATCAGTGAAAAAAAACTTGTCAGTTTAATATGTATTCATTTCTACTCTCTTACTTTAGACAATGAAAAATCGTTTCGTCTTTGAAAGTAAAGTCTGAGGATCCAGAGAAAAAGTAAAATTCTCTGGTGAAATAAATTATTACTATGGAGCCTTAAAGTGGTCTGTTTTTCTTTTAAATTATATATATATATATATATATTTACTAGGGTAGACAACGCATAGCACTCTAGCATTTTTTCTTTGTTCATTTTGCGAACCTTTACTTAGTTTCTGTAAAGCATCTTTCGCTAATCTTACGTGACTTCATATTCCAGCCACACGCTTTCCGTCATCATACTCAAAGTTAAATTTTTGTACCAGTTTGATTTTTCGGCGTCTCCAATTCGTATCTCACACTTTGGGTTGTCTCTTTTGCTGACAACCCTGAAATCTGTCTTCTTGCAATAAATGACTTACAGCCATATCACGTTGAAACACTGAAGTTAAGCAACGTCGAGGTTGGTCAGTACCTTGAAAATACCAAAGAATACCGTTTGAGAATATTAGATTTGGATGTGCGGGTGATTTAATGGATAACGGCTCGGAATTAGAAATCGATGAGCAAAGGTTCAATTCCGGGTGGGTTCGTTATATTATACATGTCATTTAGATAAGTATGAATCCACCTTTTCTCCTCCAGCTATGGGTTAATTAGTAGTATTTGTGTCTGTAAAAATTATTGCTATCCCCCCAAAAAATTCTTACAATCTAAAAATATTTTCTAGCTTTAAATAATCTGCAAAAGGTTGATAAACCGTAAAAAACAATCAATCGATCAATCTTGCAATAAATAGTCCCTTCTTCTTGCCTTCTTTTCCTGTCAGTTTCCTTTCTGCTGTGTCGACTGCGTATTTTATTTTGTTAAAATTATGTCCGCTGTTAATAAACGCTGGTAGGTCTTTAATGTTTCCTATAATCATCTCGCTGTATGTCCTGTGAGTTTCAAATTTTCCGAACCCTCTTTCCTCATTATGTACCCTAGAAATTACAAATCTCTGTTTTGTGATACTACGTATAAATGTCCTTTTGATTTCCATTTTTTCTAAAACTTCGTCAATGATCAGTCAATGGTATTCTCAGCATCCTTCTGTAGAACAACATTTGCCTCAAGTCCTTTCTCCGTCTGTGTTGAGATTATCTATCGCTCACCGATATTACTGATATTACATAACAGTTCAGCGCTCTTTGCTTTGTTTCCAAATAAATTTTCCTGTTTCTTAATACTTTGCTTAACTTTTGGAAGGCATATTTTGCTATCCAACTGCGCCTTCGGATTGCCGTGTCGCTTTTTCTATCCTCTGTTAAAATGCTCCCCAGATGTTTAAATTTTGCTCTCGTTTAATTTTGGCATCTCCAATTTAGAATTAGTATGTTGGCCTGTGTCTTTTGTTGGCCTCCATACATAGAGAAAGAAAGGTATTACACAAAAATATTGAAAAATTTTACTTACCCCGTTAACATCAACAGCATCGTGTATAAATTTGTTTACCAAGCTATCTCGATTGTTTATCGGATTGTCAAAGTAACTCATGTCCTAATCAAAGAGAAACAATGAGAACTTTAATAATATATCAGGGTGATTGTAGGTCATAAATGTTATTAAAGCTTTAAAACTTACTTTTTAAAAGTACGCTATTGGTCAAACGTCTAGGGTTCCCCTCTGGATTTAATAATTAGTAAGTTTCATTTTTTTTTTTTTATTTAATTAACTCTTGGTAAGCAAGGATGCCGAAACTGTTTAACCCTTCAGAGTATGGTGTCCAATTATTTTTCAGAGTGGGGTAAGCTAAAATTTAAAATCCGCTAGCCAGATGTTTACCATTAGCCCCCAAGTTAGATTAAGCAAAACAGGTAAAATTTAAGGTAATTGTATGCAGTAAGGGGTTAATTTTGTGGTTATTATTGTTTGAATGTAGGATAGAATCTTTCAGGAATAGAAAGTCCTTTTTGGCCCGCAGTAAGATAGCACATTCTTTTTGTAAAAGGCAACCTTCAATATTTTACATGATTCATTTAAAGTCCAGAGAGTGGCACAAAAATTTTGAAATATTATATTATATTGGGCACCTCCAGGTGGTGTAATGGTTAGCAAGTTTGTCTCGCTAGAACAATTACGACTGAGTAGTGAGTTCGATCCTCACTGGGTGTTCCATACTTTAGGCCTTGTGCCACATCTAAGCTACGCTTGGAAAATAACTATATTAATTCAATAACGAGGTAGGCAATGACTAGCAACTACTTTAAGTTTCATGTGTTGGCACACAATCTTCAGGTAGTCAGTAATATTTACCGACCTTCCCACGAGGTAGGATGTGGCACAAAGCCGAATTTAATGTAGAGCAACGCGAGCCCGTAAGCTCGGCCCCAAATTCCCCATAGACCCCGCATAAACGGGGTCGGGTTTGTCTACCTCCCCGGACGAGACTCTGCCCTTCGGCATAGCCTCGTCCGAGTTCCTCTCGGGCCGACGGCAGAGAGTTCGACAACAGCTAAGAGCTTAGCTCGCGGTCAGATCCAGCTGCCTAAATACCTGAATCTTCAGGTAGCCAGTAACTTGCGGTAATAAGATGATTATCTTATATACCACCGGACAAGTACAATTTAACAAGGAAACCAAACTTGCACAGTGTGGGGGGGGTAGATTATCCTGCTAAGATCTAAAATGGCAAAAAACATTCAACCTGGAAAGGCTTGCCAATATAGCAAAAAGCGCTCAATAACAAGAAAAACTGGCGACATGGTACAGGAGCTAAAGCATTAGGCCAAAAAAGTGCTCAACAGAACCAGACAACCAAATTCACGGTAGAGCATATATGATTCCAAGGTTTGAATAAGCAGCTCTCAATAAATTTAGGGTGACTCTATTTTGACCTGCTTTTGCCAACATTGGAATTATATTTAGTTTTATGAATATTGGTTTGTGAGGCTGACATTCACGCTTTTGCGATCATTACGCAAACTGGATTATTCTTTTTTTTAATGAGTCTATTTACACTTATTTGTGTTTATGTTTTGTGGTGATAGGGGGAATTTTCTTCTGTGTTTGTTTAGAACGACATTCTCACCCAGAGTCACAAACTAATATCCATACAACTGAATATGTTAGCTCTATTACTGATATTGAGCACTTTCCACTAAGTACTGCACATATATATATTATATGTATGTATATTTTAAGACATTTTTTATGTTTATACATTCTTTTTATAGATACAAATATTTAAGTAAATGCTCTGTTTATAATAAACAGTATTAAACAAAATTTACCGGCCTAAATGTTCGAGCGATGTAAATTGGTTTGTGACCCTGGGTTTCACGCTATAAATGTAAAAATGTCTTAAATTAATTGTCGGACTTTGTCTATTTCATAATATATGTGTATGTATGTATGTATGTATGTATGTATGTGTGTGTATATATAATATATATATATATATCTGTTCATATCTGTCTCTCTATTCATATTTATCTGTTAATATCTATCTTTTATATATATATATATATATATATATATATATATATATATATATATATATATATAGATATAATATACATTAATAAAGATAGATATGAATCGATAAATAGATATGGATATATAGATAGACGTGAACAGACATAGATACTAACAAATATGTAATACCTTAAAAAAAAAGATTTTATCACAACTCGTCTTAGTGGGGAGCAGAGTAAATACCTAGATACTAACATATATATAAGGTATATATATGAATAGATATATAGAGATATGAACAGATAGAAATAGATACACACACACACACATATATATATATATATATATATATATATATATATATATATATTAACATACAACGTGTGTTCGTACGTGCGATACCCTGTCTTCATCAACCGCCGACCATATGAACAGATAGATATACAGACAGGTACCGATATAAAAGTTAGGATGCTTGTCTCCGTTGGTAGTTGCATAGTTAAAAGAAGAAAAAAACTTTTAATTCCAACGAATTATTTATTATTTTTTTATGGAAATATTTCGGCAAGCAGTTGCCAGTCTTGGTCACTCCTTCATTTTTATTCCTTTTATTTTTTTTATGCCTCGATTTGATATTACGTTGTAAACGTCATCAACTCGGTTTGTTTTTTCTTTATTTTTTATTCTTTTGAACTTTTTTTACTGTTTTGAACTCAAATTAACCAAGACTGGCTACTGCTGGCCGAAATATTTCCATAAAAATAAATCATTCATTGGAACTACAGTTTTTTTTTCTTTTTAAGATAACGATATAGATATAGTCGCCTTAGTGTATGTCTGTGTGTGATACTCTCAAGAAGTAAGATGTGCGACGTACTTGCTTTAAGAGGGCCTTGAACAACAAATCTCGCATCCGCATTGTTAATTTACTGTCGGTTTGGGCAAAACAAAAATTCTGAAATAAAGATAGAAATAAAGAAAGTTTTAAGAAACATTTGTGAAAGTTAGCTATCCAAAATTTGGGATCAAGATTCAACAAATTGCAGAAAAACACATTTTTCAAAATTTTTGCCAATAAATTTGTCTTTCGGTCCGTAATTGATTTCATTGAGTAAATAATGCCGTTGCCTTTTTTTCTTTTTTTTTTTCTTTTTTTTCGCTTTTTGTATTTTAGACCAAGTGAACAACGAAGAGATAAAGTGGCAGCAAGTCCTCTCCAGCCTCAAGCACACATGTGAGTTTTGTCAGAACCTTTTTTTTTTTTTTTTTTTTTTTTTTGACTTTCAGTTAATTTCGTCAAAAGGGACGTACCAATCAATCTAATAGTTATAGCAAACGTTTTCACCTACCTATAGCCTCATTTCTTGAAAACTCAAGGAAGGATCAAATATTCTTTCGACATTTAGTTTCTCATCATCAGGCATTTCCCATTTGATAGATGTTGTACTATTTTTTATTCTTATTGTTTTTGTTAATTTTTCGCTTTGCTTATTTGAAATTACTAGGTTATATTTAACCATTTCTTTATTAGAATTATCACGTTATTTTTCATAAAAATATTGAGTTATTCTATAGAATTTCCTATTGAAATATTGACAATTATTGAAATTATGACGTTATTTTCTATTGAAATATTGACAATTATTGAAATTATGATGTTATTTTCTCTTGAAATATTGACAATTATTGAAATTATGACGTTATTTTTTTATTGAAATGTTGACATCTTAAACGATAATGTGATTTTTTAGAAAAAAATTATAATTATTATCAATAAAAATAATTGAAAAATGCTAAAAGATGTTTGCATGTGTATCTTCCAATTACACACACACAAGCACGTAATGTTTACTAAACGATTATAGCACTCCTCTCTTTGTGTCCTTGTGTCAGGATAAAATGTTGCAAAATCAATAAGTATTTCCCCGTGATTAAACAACTTCCAGTGTCGGTAAATGTGCAACTTTATATACTTACCTGTAAATAATTCACTGGCGCCAAAAATGCTCCAACAACCATAAGTTGGGCGGCAGCGTCTCTTCTTGCTGTATATTGATCATCAGCGTTCTTCAACGAAAAAATCTGTTAATGGAAAATTTGAATCTCCGGATTACATCGATTGAGGAAGATATATATATATATATATGAATGATATTATATGAAAAGAATATTTAACTCTTAAATATCAGTTTTATCCTGACATCGATATTTCTTGGCAAAATTTCCAGTGTTCGGGGGTTGTAGATTTAACCGTTTAAAACCACAACCCCTGAAGAATAAAAATTTTACCAAGAAACATCGATGTCGGGATCAAATTGATATTTAAGGGTTTAGTATTCTTTTTATATAATATTAACTCTATATTTTTAATATTATTTTAATATATATATATATATATATATATATATATATATGTTGTATTGATAATGTTATAATTTATGAATATGTCCTGAAGATGGTTTATTAGACCGAAACGTCCGACGTTGACATATTAACATTAAAACAGCATAATTGTATATAAGGATTTTTGTTTGTTTTTTTCCGTATATATTTTTCTTCATACTGTCGGATCTATATAGATATATATATATATATATATATATATATATATATATATATATATATATATATATATATATTAAAAGAAAGAGTTCAGTTGTGCTTCTTATAGTATGTAAAATAGATAGTTTGGTTAATATATCAAGGGCAAACGAATGGGTATCAATATGATCAGTACGAAAAAATGTATTCAATATTATTTATTAACCACATGAGAGAAATGGCAGTGGAAATTAAGGTTTTAAGTCCAGAATTTTCGGGCACGTCTGTGTCCTTTATCAGCGGCACGAGAAATAAACAGAGAAATGGGAAAGACTCACTATTAGTTGTTATTGAATATGGCCTGTGTATAATTTATTGTAGATAGTATTATTATTAGCAAAATCCGATCTCTGTCTGAATTCTCACTGTGCGATTTTTTTTTTTTTTTTTTTTTGAAAATAAGCTTAGATTCAAAATTTGGATCAGTGTGAACGTGTTAGGACGTTTTGTTTTTATCGATGTGGGTAGTTTGAGATTTTGAACGTAGAGGAAGAGGGTTAAATTTTTTTTGGGTAAGACGTAGTGTAAAATTTTCAGATAAGACTCTTCGTTAAGACATTTGGCGAAACAGGAAAGTTGGGGAACTCAGAAAAAAAAAAGGTAATAAAATAAAATGAAAGAAGGAAAGGAACTAATTAAAGGAAACATCTTCATAAAATTAGGAGGGGGTGCAGAAAAAATAGAAAAATAAATAATAATAATAATAATAAAGGAAAAAGAGGGGGAATAGCGCCTACAAATATACATGCGCTGTGTACATAAGTGCACCTAACTGTGTGTAAATATACACTAGCTACCACATAAACTTGTGAATCTCAACTTACGTAAAAATATGAATACCTAATACTAGATTAATAATCATCTGCATCCATCAACTTCCCTCACTCCCCATAAAATCTTGTATGTAAAGGAACTATAGTCGTAGAACTGAAGATAGTATAGAAGCGGGTGATTGGGAAATAACCCTCAGTGTACATGGCAATTCTTCTTTTACTGAAAAGTGCGTAATGGGAGAAATCATAGGTACCACAGCAGAAAAATACAGTAGGAAGGAGATGGTTGTTAATATTTGGATTTAAAATGTTGATGGAAGGCCTACTCATTCAAGGAATGGTATTGCTGGGAAAAGGGTTACCTTATAGAAATTATACTCTCTGAGTAAACGCAAATCTCTCTTTAGTACTTTGATGTAGGAATTTACTTTTAGGATATACTTCAACTCTGATCTGCGTCTATCCACCTGCAGGAAGGAACCCAGCCGCTAAAAGCACGCACCCGGCGTCGTCGATGATGTGGCCAGGTTGGTTAAAGTGTACGGATACCGGGAAATTGTTGTTGTTGTCCTTGATGCTTTTCTTGTGGTTATTGAACATAATTCCCCTTCTCGCTTCTGTGGCAGAAGAGTAGATATACGAGATTGTGACAGCTTAGAGCAGGTGGTTTGAATACTGCGTGAGTCCCGGGGGCGTGTGTACAACACCTACACACAACCGGGGATTCACCATTGTCAGAAAATGGGGGTGCATAAAAAAAAAGAAATAAATAGACTATAATAATAACACAGAAAAAAAGAGGGAAAAAGCGCATACAAATATATATGTGTATCTTTCATTAAAAACGGCCGACAAAAAAAGATTTAATTAATCTTTCTATTGAGAAAGCGCTCTGAACAATTATGTACAATTCCTATATACATGCATATATTCTTTATATATTTTGATACATTTTATGTGTGAAGATACATTTTATTAAAAAATAGTAGTAAACTTAATTAATTCTTATTCTAACAGAAATTAATTAATTTTTTTCATTTTAACTGATGAAAAAAGTATTCGTACAAAACAAAAAAGCAAATTAATTTAATACTTTGTGGAATATCCTTTATTGAGTTCAACAGCTACCAGTCTATTCCTGTACGTCTCAACTAATGATTTGCACACATTGAGTGGTATTTTGTCCTATTCTTCTTGGCATATTGTCTTCAAATTCTTGACATTTGTTGGTGCTCTTTTCCCAATTTGAATTTTCAAATATCGCCATAAATTCTAGATCGGGTTCAAGTGTGGGGACTGACTTGACCATTGCAAGACTTCAACGTTACTTTCAGCTAACCATTTCCTTGTAGATCTAGCGGTATGCTTAGGATCATTATCCAGTTGGAAAATCCAGTCAGGAGGTAGCCGAAGTCTCTCAACAAAACGCATTAAATTGTCTTGCAGGATTTTCTGATAGCTTTCGGCATTCATCTTGCCATCTATTATTGATATTCTGCCAAAACCTTTTGCAGAAAAACAGCCCCAGATCATGATACTGCCACCACCAAACTTTACAGTTGGCAACGCGTTCTTTGATAAGTAGGCTTCACCGTCCTTCCTCCACACATCATTTCGATAATTATGACCAAACAACTCTATTTTAGTTTCCTCTGTCCATAGTACTTTTTCCCAAAACGAATATTCTTTATCCTTATGCTCTCTAACGAATCTTAGCCTAGCATCTCTGTGTCGTTTCAAGAGGAGTGGAGTCTTCCTTGGGATGCGTGATTTCAGACTGTTTTTGTGTAGTTCATTACTTATTGTACGCTTGGTTATTTTAATCCCTAATGCACGCAGATGTTCCTGCAGCTTTTCTCGGGTAACCTGTGGATTTTGTTGGATCTAGCGTCCTAATATCCTTGCTGATCTTAGAGAAATCTTTCTCGGGGCACCTGTTCGTCGTTGGTTTTCGACGCTGTTACGAGTTTTACACCTTGCAATGAACGAAGCAATTGTAGTAAAAGGAATATTCAGGTTGTTATAAATCGTTCTGTAACTGTTCCCAACTTTCTAACGAGACAAAATGTGCTGTTTTTGTGAAATAGCCAATTCTATAACTTTAGGCATTATTAGAACCTTCTCGTAAGACTAGAAATTGCAGAATGCTCTGATAATGGCTAATAGCGTTAACTATAATTACTAATATCATTTCTGGAGAATTGTAGAATATACTTTTTTCATAATTAATTAATTATTTTATTTTAATAATTGATTTTGTACGAATATCTTTTTCACCAGTTAGAATTTAAAAAATGCATTAATTTCTGTTAGAATAAGAATTAAGTTTATTATTTTTTAATAGTATATGTCTTTATACATAAAATGTGACGAGATTTGTTTTATTTAAGGCTTTTACATTTATAAAAATAAAATTTTTCAAGTGTACGAATATTTATTTTCCCCCACTATATATATATTCCTATGTGTGTCTCTGTCTCGAGATATATATGTGTGTGCATATTCCTGTTTGTGTATAAATATAAATTTATATATATATATCCGTGTGTTTCTGTTTCGATATATATACATATGTATTCCTGTGTGTGTATATATATATATATATATATATTCGTGTGTAAAATGTGTGTATATATATATATATATATTCGTGTGTGTGTGTGTGTATATATATATATATATATTCGTGTGTGTGTATATATATATATATATATATATATATTCGTGTGTGTGTATATATATATATTCATGTGTATTAAGAAATGGACAATGTCCGACAATTTATTTATTAAAGACATTTTTATGTTTAACGTTGTTATTTTTATAGATACAAGTATTTAAGCAAATGCTCTGTTTATGATAAACAGTATTAAATAACATTTTCGGCCTGAATGTCTGAGAAATACAAATAGAAAATATTCGTTCTTTGACAGGATTCGAACCTGCATCCTATACGGAACCGTCATATACGCTGACGTGCCTTACCTTATCATTAGGCTACAAAAGAACCGATCGGTAACAAGGTCGAATTTAAACATTGCTTATAAAATTCCAATCTTCCATGAATCTCGTACATTCATAACTGCTCTTGCGTATCGAATGTAAACAAATGACGTCTATAAAAAAACAACGTTAAATTCCAAAAAATATCTTTAATAAATAAATTGTAAATTTTGTCCATTTTAATATATGACGTCATTTGTTTATATGACGGATAGATTTATCCATCATCAGGCATGTGTTTTTTCCTTATAAATCAAAAACTTGAGATAATATGTCGACCAAAATATGTTTTTGAATATCTGCTATTATTGACGGTTTGTAAAATCTCTCGGAACGTGCAAAAGACGCAACGCTAAGTTTTTCAAAATTTTAAATGAAATTTTTATTTAAATAATTTCATGTGATGTGTTAAATCCACGTATTAACATTTTAAAGTGTATATATTTTTTATGTCATGAACTAAGATATATAGTTCAATAATATAGTATATATAATGTATATAGTAGTATATTTTTTTTTATAGGAAAATATTTTTATGTACTGCGGAAATATATTTTAATAAACATAAAACATTAGGCAGACATATAAAAAAATATAAAATCAAAGAATAAAAATAAATGTTTTCAATTAATTAAATTATTAATAAAATTTTTTCTGAATCCACCGCTGAAAACATAATATATGCATTAAAATTTTTTCATCCATAAGACGATTTCTTAATAAACTGAAAAATACAGACAACAATTATTTTCGTCAAGGAGAAAAACTCGCACTATGGATGAACAGGATTTTAATGCATATTTATGTTTTAAAGCGATGGATGTTGCCAATAATCGCATTAATATTTCTGATTAATTGTATATGTGATTAATCATGCATATAAATCATATTTTTGTGAAATAATGTTTTATTTTTATATATATATATATATATATATATATATATATATATATATATATATATATATATATATATGTATTTATAAAATAAATATATATATATATATATATATATATATAATTAATTACAATAAAATACATGCTACCAATGTTTTTTTTTAAAAATTTTCAAACGGTTTGAATTTTTATGTTTTTGATCAGATGATCTAAATAGAAATCCATTTATTTAAATTTGAAAGCCTGCATGTTAAATTTTTATTTTTGTTTTATTTAAATTTGTATTGATTCACCAAAAATACTATTTCTTTTAAATTAAAAATTATGTCCAATAAATTATAATCATATAACGATATATGTAAATCCCTTGTCCTGAAAATAACAATGTTTCAAAATAATAGTTTTTCCTCAGTTTCCAATATTTTTTGTCTCTTAATAAGTTTGTGTTATTGCCATCCTTCCCTATCCTCTTCTGTTACCCATTTAAACGTGCTTCTTGGCTAGGTTAGTCGCTGTTATTTCTGCTTTTCTCATAGTTTCTAGGTTTTCTTCTTTTGTTTTACTTATTACTTCATAAAGACAATGTCTCCCCAACCCCGCAAAAAAAAAATTACTTACATGTCGTCAAGATATAAGGAAGATACTTACTCGTATGAATTCAGCGATAAACAATGCCATCAGGGGTCCAATAAGTCCAACAGCGATTGAAGCTAAGCTCCCTATCACAGCGTATGACCAATCAGGAAAATTCAGTTTCAACAGACGCTTCATCAGTGAACAACTAAACCTCGGAACCTAGGAAGGTGATAAAAACGAACTCAGTCAATATATGAACACGTTTATTTTGTCTTTGATTTGTTTTAATTATTGTTTTTAGATATTAACAAAATTTACCATTGTTCGGAATGTTGCCCCCATCTTTATCACATTATTCAACGTTATAACATTGTAAAAATTTTCTTCAGGTAATTTGTTTAAACGAGAAAATTCGAACCGAATCTAGAATAGTCAATCTGTATGTTATTTTTCTGAAGATTGGTTCGATGATGTTTAATTTGGACGTTCTTCCCATGTTTATTTCCTTTTTGGTAAATAAATTTTACATATAACCTTATACATTCAAATAAATCAGTAATGTGTTTTGGGAATCTGTACAATTTCCTCCATAAACGTCTACACAAACGTCATCGAACCAATCTTCAGAAACGCCAATATACAGATACTATTCTGAGTTCGGTCCGAAATTCAAACAAATATGACCTAAAAGAATTAAAATATTTTTAAAATACATTTTTTCTCATTGTGTTTCTTATAAAAGATGAAGACAACAGTCCGACCAATTTAAATGGTGTAAATAGTTTCAATATGTTGTCAGAGATATATACATATGTTATTTTCTTTCCTTTGCAGTTTTTTTTTAAATTACAGATTGGGGAATTTTTATATACAAAACTGTATATATTCATCTTCATTTTTTTTTTATTTTCTTACAATAGATTTGATACTGATAATGGTAAATTAAAAATTTTCCTGTTTTTTAAGGCAACAGAAATTCATTGAACGAATATCCAGTGCAATGTATATTGAAATAAAAAAAATTCTATAACTAACTGTTATAGCTCTTTCTTTATAATCAATCAACGTTCTTAGATACTTGCTTCATGTATGTTGGTCGGACATTCCTGGGTATGACAATAAAATATGACATCCACGTGTTAGGTAAGACGATTAAACTATGTCCAGCAGCAAAAGGAGGTTGATGAGGAGGTTTGGAGGGGTGGAACCACCTCTTAATTCATGGTGTTCCCAGGTATATTTTACCCTGGACCCGTGGTGGTATCACCTGTTAGGGTCCCCAGCTATTATTTAAATAGTTAACCCCCAAACTAAGTTAAAAAGCATTAAAAAGTTAAAAAAATAGGTTTTAATATCAGAAATATTTAGTAAAAAATTATTAAAAAAATAAATTTTGAAGAAAAAAAAAATTATTACCAACAGTACGTTTTTGATAAAAAATATTAGCAAATACATTTTTTAACCAAAAAATATTACCAGGATTACATTTTGAGGAAAAGAATATTACCAGAAATAGATTTTTGACAAAACAAGACTATCGAATTTAAAAAAAGTTTTAGGAAAAATGACCCATTTTTTGATATTTAAAAAAAAAAAACAAACGAAACTAATATGTTGGTAAATTTTTTGAAGATTGGTTTTGATGACGTTTTTGTGGACGTTCTTCACATTTATTTCCTAAAACAAAATCATATATTTTTCACATTATATATATATAAATCTATCATTAATAAATATATAAAATTATGTATATATTTCTAAGATTCATTTTACATCTCCAAAAAAAAGTCATCGAACCAATCTTCAGGAGCTTTTTAAAATTTATTTGATCAATTTAACGTCAACATCTTGATTATTATGTCATTATTTTTATCTTTTTTAAATTAAATGTATTATCGATTTATATTGTTGCTCTTGTTAAAATATTATCATTGATTGTCTTTGTTTAGCAGAGTCGTTTTTTTAGATGATTTTTTGGTGTTCAAAATAAGGTTAAAGAAACATAGTCCTTTAAGGGTTACGATATTATTTTCTCTCACAACCATCATTAACCATTAATTTTGGCACGGTTGTTAATAGATAGCGGCTCGGATTGACAATTTCGGAGAGCCAAGTTCGAAATCCAGTCCAATCCATTAACATTCACTTACGATTGAATTAAAAACATTTTCGTAAAATGGTATGAATCCTCTACTTCTACCTCACAACTATGGGTAAATAGCAGGACAGACCGGATTCTATAGCTTTGGATGCCAACTAGTCTACTAAGAAATGGCAAATTTTACTTAAAAAATTGTTTCTCGTCAGTCATGTATCGAAAGATACATGAAATATATCACGCATAGCCCATAACTGACTGAATCTGAGAAAATGGTTGCATACAGCTGACAGTTTAGATATCTTAAAACAAGACTGTTGCCATGCATGACATCAATATGGAAGCCTCGATCTGATGAGAGTATTTAAGAACAAGAGTCAAGCTTTTAAGTTAATGTTTTGGTTTTATACCACTATGTTCAATTTCCTTATCTCCTCTACTAAATTTGTTATAACTAATCCATACACCAATCTATTTTAAGAGTTTACTAATACCAAATCGTTCTCTTGAACCCCGTTCATCTTTTCCTCAGTTCCTCCCTATATAAAGTTTTTTTCTCACTCACTTTCACTCTTTGTAACCACCTGTGTACTAGAGGCATTACTTGATGTGAAACGATGTTTTTAAAAAAATCTTGATTATGTCATTATTTTCTCTTCAAGTTACATGCGCTATCCATTTTATTAGTTGCAGCTGTTGAATGTCCTCAAATGATGCCAACGAACACAACAACTATATCAAAAAATCAAAAGAAAATGGTTGAATCCGTCAACATAATAAAAACAATATTTCTACACGTGAAATTATTTGACGTAATTTTCACTTGACAATATGAATACATTAGCGATTTCTAGATTCTTCTAGTTGGTAAGGACATTTTTTTTGTTGTTAATAGTTACTTTGTTTTCAAAATTCATTTCGTTTTTGCCTTGAAAATGTTCACATTGAACGAAACGCGTAATAATACAGTTTTCTTATTGTCTTTTACATATATATATCACGACGCTTGACACTACATTTGAATGAAAACTCTATCATTTTTTAGGCATTTAAAACAACATGCCTGCCCGCAATTCACAATTCCGTAAAATACTTGTCGAAAACACAATTATACTTCGACATGAAAACAATAGACAAAAATCTAAAAACCCTTGAAGCATTATACATCAAACAGTTGAAACCCAACCTAAAACAAAATCAATTATGGCATCTCTACAAATATTTTTAAATCTATAATTGGTAACAGAAGCCATTGGTTTATACCAACGGCTTTCATATTTCAATTCAATTCACTTTTGTGGTCATGTGTGACGTCATGAGATGCGGTGCGATTTTCGCTTTTAGCGTCTTATATGCGCGTGTTTATCGTTGCTTAGAGATCATCTATGTAAACAATGACAGACTATCATCACTGTCGTGTCCGTATATTGTTTAATATGTTTGTAATTTACATCTTTGATAATGGCTTAAGTAAGCCGAAAGCTTAGATTATAATAAAAAAAATATGGATCAATATTGTGAATTTCTTTCTTCGTTCAACGATAATGTTATTAAACTTATTAGACGTTACGAAAAAAATTTACATAAAATAAATAGACAACACTTGTCTATATTATTTAATGAAACGTGTATGAATATAAAATATATATATAAATATATATATATATATATATATATATATATATAGGGTTTTGGTTTTGTATTTTTTTCTCTCATTTTTCTTCTGAGTTTTCTTCCCTTTCGTCATATAAACTCAGATCCTCATACTTGTCAGCTCGTAGGTTTCGGGCCTTTTTCCGATGACTGACGATAGCCATTAAATTCTTTCTCGCTCATTTTTTTGATATTGATCCATTTATAAAATATAATTACCAATTAGATTAAAACGAAACAGAACATTTAGTGAAGATTAGGAAATCTTCATTAATACAGTCGACCCCTTAATAACCAGAGATATGGACAATAGAATGAATGGGTTAATCACGGATATGTTTTAGAAACTTCAAATACCGGGCTATTATTAGATAGTTCAAATGAATACCGGGTTATTTTTAGGAAGCTCAAACAAATACCGTTTATTTTTAGAAACATCAAATAAATACCACCTAGTTTTACAAACGTCTAATAAATACTGGATATTCTTAGAAACGTCTAATAAATAGCGGCTATGTTTAGAAATGTCAAACAAACGCTGGATATTTATAGAAACTTGAAGGCAAAGTATGAGAAAAAGGATACTATCCGATAAAACCAAAGGAAAGAATACTGAATTGTTATATAATGCTGGACAAAATTGAAAGTGAGAGTTCAAGCAAAAGAAATATGATTCTAAAGAATACTGAGAATACCATTTAAAGAATGATTCAAAATTATGAAATTTTAGAGACTTTGGAAACAAAATGGACACCTATATTTAACATCAGAAAGAGACAGTTAAAAGTTCTAAGGAACATAATGAAGAAAGCGGGTCAGGAAGAATTGATATTCGAGGTACAGATTGAAGGCAAGAGGGACACAGGAAAACAAGGCATAACCTACCTAGAGAGATTGAGTAAATGGCTGGCAGAACAAGTTTTAGGAGATGGAAGGCAAGAGGGACAGAGGAAAACAACGCATAACCTACCTAGAGAGATTGAGTAAATGGATGGCGGAACAAGGTTTAGGAGATTGAAGGCAAGAGGGACACAGGAAAACAAGGCATAACCTACCTAGAGAGATTGAGTAAATGGATGACGGAAAAAGGTTTAGGAGATTGAAGGCAAGAGGGACAGAGGAAAACAACGATGAAATTGATTGTTTAAGAAAAATAGAGAACGGAAGAGAGATTAAATGGATGGCGGAACATAAGGTTTAGGAGATTGAAGATGCAACAGTCAAGGGAGATGGAAAACATTTTATTAAAAACATATAAATAAGAGATTTGAATAAAAATGGATGGCCGAACAAGGTTTAGGAGAAATGACATAATTTATTAAAAGGATAGAACTATGTGGAGAGCCATGGCCATATCGTCCTGAAGGGACACGGTACATAGAAGATTGCTTATGAATTGCTAAATTGAACATTTCGGGGACTTATTTATAATCTATTTTTTATTATATGTGCGTGTTTGTGAGTGTGA